TCCCATTCCTCCTGCAAAACCAGGGGAGAGTCCAGTGGAGCTAGAAAGGGAAGGATGGATGTTAGCAGGGCCATGTGTAGCTCACCCCGGGGTGTTCTTGCTTCAGACACTGGGTGATTGATGGGGGCAGTTCATTCTGTCTGGGGATAGTTTGGACCAATTTGGTCTCAGATATCATTAATAAGTGAGAATTTTTCCTCACTCCCTTTCAAGAAACATTTTTATTATTCTAGGTAAAATGTGTAATATCTTTTCACTGCAGAGCATGTTGTTGAGGGTTTGGTTGCACAGAAGAGAATTCACTCTAGCTCATTTCAGGAAGAAAAGATTTAGTGTATATTCTGGCTTATGAAACCACTGGGAGAGGGAAGCAGGCTGCAGGTCCCCATACAGCACAGAGGTCCTCTTCCTTCCATAGCTGGGAGGTCCCCAGTCCAGATGTCCAGTGCCCCTTAGCCCTGCTCCATACCTGACACGTAGGGCTGCCTACACTTCTCTCACTGGGCCCAGAGACAGCAGGAATGACAGGAAACTAAATCTCACACAAGTGGATCACACAAGTCTAGACCTGAAAGGAGTCTTAGAAATAGACCGTTTTAGCTAATTAGCTTCTGAAGTACAGAGAGAGATACTAGACAGGTAGAATGGATCCTGAGTGCAATGCATGTCTGCCATATAAAGTGAGGAAACTGAATGGAATTCTACCTGATTCCTGCCATTAGGTGTGTCCTGTAGATGTGTACCTGTGCCACCAAAAATGGTTATGAGGTAGACAGTTCTTTCCATTTTTGCAGATGAAGAAATTGAGGTGAGAGTTTAAGTCAGCTAATGATTGTCAAAGCCTGATTGGAACCTAATTCCAAAGCTAGGCTTTTCTTGATACACCTTGCTTATCTCTTTAGTTTTCCTTCTGCTGCTGACAAATGCTACCAACATATAGATTGAATTGCCACAGAATTTGTGGGCTATCAAAATGTTTTCTAAAGCCAAAAATGGAACTGTAGGCTAATGTTTGCAAGCTACGGGTTTAATAATGCTCTGTATTTTTAGTCATCTGGGGCTTAAGAAAAGCCCATTTCATGGTTACACTGGAATTTTGTGTTATGGTGGCAAGGGAAGTGGCCATGTACATAGGTCTTAATATCTGGGTCGCTTGGTAAGTGGAGTCATTTTCTTATCCTTGGTCCAGATTTCTCCTTTCCTCCATCTTTTCTCTGATTCTGAGCCTTCTGTTGGCCAAATGGCAGTTTGTATTCCTATCTTCCTCCTCACAAATAACCATGGACAGAACAACTCTGAATTTGAGTGGTGTTGAACATAGCACCTGTACTATCAAGAAATCTTTATGCTAGCTAACTTCTCTCCCCGTCAGTGGGACCCTCATCCTCTCTGTTGGTCACTCATGGGGAGCAGTTCAGCAAGAAGTCTTCAGCTACTGTGTTGAGCAGTGTACTAGTCCTTTTTGGAAATAAATTTTGGTCTCAAAATTGCCTTGGCAGTCACAAAGGCTATTTTCTAGCCACAGTCCTACTGTTAAGGCACTTTATGGCTTTGGGGCTCAGGTTCCCTTTCTGTTGTATGTAAATGATAGTTATGCACCTCCACTGCAGGGTTGTTTTAAAGGTTAAATGAGAAATAAAGAGTGCTGAAAGAGAGGGGTGGGAGGGAGGAAGAAGAGAGGAAAGTAGAGAAGGGAAAAAATACCCATGTTGGCTGATTTCATTACTTTGTTAGTTCATGACATAATATCCCTAAATTTACATTGAGAGCTGTTTCAGTTTCTGCCAGGGCTTAAGAACAGGTGGACAGACTTTATTCTGCAGGCTACTTGAGATCATGTATAGCCTCTACCCTGTGAGTGAGGTGTTGAAGCAGGAAATCCAGAAAAATTCTCTTTTTTTCAGAGCAATTTTGTTTCTGGCTGCTCCTCTGGAGTCAGGAGGGGAAGCCAGATTACTGAGGTTCCCACGTTAGCCTTTCTACCTGCGACACATCCTTAGGTTAATGCCTCCAAGGAGCAATTGAGGTGTCCTTGGTGACAAATTCATCAGATTTCTTCTGCACAATTAAATGAGCCATATGTTCTGAAGAACTGACTTTATGTGGGAGAATGAAGGAGTCATTCTTTTTTTTTTTTGGTACCGGGGATTGAACTCGGGTCCTTGCGCTTGCACAGCAGGCGGTGAAACCACTGAGCTAAATCCCCAGCCCATGGAGTCATTCTCTTGACAGACATTGAGAATACAGTAATAGTTCAGATTCCTTACAAACTTTCTCTAAGAGCAACCCTGTGCAACATTTTTTTACTAAGTATTTTTCTTCCTTAGAGAGGCCCTAGGAATGATGGGAAGGAAACTTCCTGGAGAGTGTTGTTGAGCCCCAGCAGTTTGCCAGGCTCATGGTCTCCTCCAGGAAAAGCCTCAGCTGGGCTCCTTAGCAGCTTCTGCAGTAGATATACCACTTCTCCTTCCAGACACAGGCTGCAGGTTCTATATATAAAACTAAAACTGTGTCCCCCAAAATTTTCCTTCTGAAGCTGGTTTCTTTCAAGAAAGGAGGGAGTTGATGTTGGCTGTTTTCAGGGTAGAATGAGTCAGGTTCTTCCCTAAATCTCCTGCTACCAAACTTATTATCTTTTTTTCCCTTAGCCATTCCCACACAGCATCTTGCCTGTAGTTCCATTTCAGGAAACCTAGTGCTACAGCCAGAACTAGCTGGGAGAATCTGACCAGTGAGGAAAGTAGCCTGTTTTGTTGATGAATGGCATTTCTGCTGTTTCTGATGTCTGGGAATTGCTGGCCATAGGGGAGAGGTGAAGAGTACAGAATAAGATGAGGGAACGGAGGGCTATTATGTGTTTGGTTTTCTGCATGATGGTATAAATTTGTTCTGTTCAAAGAAGGAAAAGGTCTTAGGAAAGAGTCCTATATTTGTTTTCAAATTACTAGATATATTTGATGTGGATATTGTTAAAGCTTTTTTTCTTTCTTCCCTGATCTAGGGATTGAACCCAGAGCCTTGTGCTAGCTAGGCAGGGTCTCTACCATTGAGCTATACCTCCAGGTCTGTTAAAGCTTTTTTAAACCTTGATTGATTGATTCTTAGTTTATCTGGTGTACTTACAAAGGAGAAATGTTAGAACTTCTGACCTTTTGTCTCCTTCTCTGATCAGGGAAAGTGGCAGTCAGAAAAACTTTTGGCCTAGGAGTACGAAGATCTGATTTCTGAGACTCAAAATCTCATATACCAAGATCATTGCTTAATGATTTATAAGCCATATCCTCATATTTGTGTCATTCGGTGATGTTAGGTTGATAAACTATTCTATTTTACAAATTCAGAGCAATTTTTATATTTTCATATAAAAATTCAGTTAAATTTGCTTTGTATTCTCTCACCTGTAAAATAGGAATAATTCTTGTTTCCTAAAAAAAAATTTTTTTTTGGAGAAATATAAAGCTCCTTGAATCTGTTTCTACCTCTGTTAAGTAAAGCAAATACTTATGTCTCAGGATTGTGAAAAGGTTTAAGTGAAGTAACAAATGCAAGAATACCTTATCGAATACCTGCTGTTTAGTAGTCACTCAAAAGATGTTTGTCATATCTCAGTTACAGAAATGTTGAAAATCAAAGAGGGTAATTACAGTGAATCTCCAAGAAAAAGTAAAAACAAAATTTAAATGCAACACAAGGCTGGATATGGTGGCACACACCTATAATCCCAGCACTCTGGGAAGTGGAGGCAAGAGGATCACAAGTTCAAGCCTAACCTAAGCAACTTAAAAGACTTAGCAAGAGCTTTTCTCAAAATAAAAAATAAAATATGGACTGGGAATATAGCTTAGAACAAAGGCTCTGGGTTTAATCACCAGTACTGAAAGGTGGGGGAGGCAACATAATTGCTCATAGTAGTTAGGAAGTATAGGAGTGGGTAACAGTGAAAGAGGCAATTGCTGGCCCAAATGTCAAGGAGCCTTTTTGCTGGATACAAGTAGAAAAGCAATAAGGAGAGACACTGACTGGAAGAACAGGGCAGAAGAGAGAGATGCCCAGGTTTATTCGGTTACCTTTTTGGATACCAGCCTAAAGATGTTGCTGCTGGGACCTAAAGCTTAAAAAGACTAACCTGATGTGCAGTAGTGCCCCCCCCTGCCACGTCTGCATTTTTTTTTTACTTTCTGTGGTTTTTGTTAGCACCAGTCAACTGCAATCAGAAAATATTAAATGGAGAATTCCACAAATGAACAACTTGTAAGTTTTAAATTGCATACCATTCTGAGTAGTATGATGAAATCTTGCACTGTCCTACTGGAATATGAATATCTCAGTGTATCCATGTTGTATATGCTACGCACCCATTAGTCACTAAGTAGCCATCTTGGTTATCAGATTGACTGTCATGTTATCACAGTGCTTGTGTTCAAGTAACTTTTATTTTACTTAATAACAGCACCAAATTGCAAGAGTAGTAATGCTGACAATTTTAATATAGAATATTGTTATGACCATCCTATTTTATTATTGTCAATCTCTTACCATGCCTAATGTATATATTAAACTATCATACATATGTATGCATAGGAAAAAACTTAGTTATATATCATATTTGATATTATCTGGGCTCTCAGGCATCCACTAGGTCTTAAAATATATCCCCTAAGGATATGGGGGGGGACTATGAAGGAATAATTATATGCAAGAATTTTATAAAGCTGGTCTAATTGCTAGCTTAAATTGGTTTTACAGGGCATATTCTGTTCGTGTTTTATGTTGAGGTTCTTGGTCATATATGTGCTAGTGCCTGCTCCGTCTCTGGATTTTGCTTCCTATTAGGAAGGAACTTCACCTTAGGCAGCTGAAGCATGCTGGGCTTTGGCGTCATAACCCATCTGAGTTACATCCTGACCTAGGGCCCTGTATCTCTAGCTGGCCCCATGCCTGTTCCTCTTGAGCCACTTGTCCTGGACTTTGTTGTTAAAAGCCTTGTTTCTGTGCTCTAGGTTCCCAGAACCCTGGCCGAAGCTCGCCTCCCCCTGGCTATGTGCCTGAGCGGCAGCAGCACATTGCCCGGCAGGGATCCTACACCAGCATCAACAGTGAGGGGGAATTCATCCCAGAGACCAGCGAGCAGTGCGTGAGTATGGGGGATTGGAGTGTGCACACAGTCTGTGTCAGACCGAGATGATGTCAGGGATTCTCCGTGGGCACAGTGTAGACTTGATAGATTAGAACTTCAAATAGTAGCTTGTCTACAAACCAGGCCTGCCCAAATATGGATTATTCCTTTCGATGGGCCAAATATCAATTCCTGCCAAAGATAGGATCCAAGCTACCTAGCCTCTTTGGTGTTGGGTGAGCACTTGACAGTTTCACTCTTAAAGTCCCTCACTGGCCTTCCTACAGAATTATACTCTGTTGTTTATGCTCTTCCTTACAACTGTCTTTCTTCATTTGGGCAAGTTTGTACATATGACCAATGCTAAACTAACAGATTGTGTTTTTTATTGGCTATATTTTAATTTTGTTATTTCTTGGGGAGAGGTAGGACCCAAACACTATCCCAATTATACTGCAGGATTGGTTAGAGTGACCTTCTGTGATGATAAACAGCTATTAGTAATTATCTGTTGTTATATAACAAATTATCATAAATATAGTCTTACAGTGATAGAATTTATTATACTTTAGTTTCCTTGGGTCAGGTGTCTAGACATTGTTTAGCTGGGTCCTCTGCCTAGGATCACACAGGGCTGCAATCAAGGTGCTAGCCAGGCTGGATTCTTTTTCTTGAGCTTGGGGCTATCTTCCAGGCTCACATGATTGTTGACAGAATTCAGTTCCTTGTGATTGTAGGGCTGTGGTTTCTATTTTCTCACTAGATGTCACTCAGTCGTGCTCTGAGTGTCCTAGAGGCCACCTACAGTTCTTTTGCTATAGGTCCCTCTCACAACATGGTGGCTTATTCAAAGCCAGCAGGAAAATCTCTAGCTCCACTTTGCAAAGATGCAGTCTTCTATAACTTAATATAATCATGGGATGAGCATCTTGTCCTCCTAGCCCTAGTCTGTTGCCTAGAATTCATATGTTCTACTTGCATTCAAAAGGAGGATCGCCGGGGATTTAGCTCAGTAGTTCCACTGCCTGCCTCGAAAGCTAAGGACCTGAGTTCAATCCCCGGTACCAAGAAAAAAACCAAAAAAAACCCAAAAAGTTTCAAAAGGAGGATGACTCACTGTGATTCTGTGGTCCATGTGTCCATCACAATACTCAACCATTGTAGTGGCTTTGTGTGTGTGTGTGTGTGTGTGTGTGTGTGTGTGTGTGTATGTGTATGTGTATGTGTTACTATGATTGATTGAACCCAGGGCCTTTGTGCTGAACTATATTCCCAGGCCCCATCCCCCTTTTTTTGGTACTGGAGATCAAACTCAGGACCTTGCGCTTGTGAGGCAGGTCGTGGAGCCACTGAGCTAAATCCCCGGCCCTCCCAAAGAAAGGATCTCACTAAATCATTAAGTTGCCCAACTGGGCCTTGAACTTGAATCTTCCTGGTTTAGCCTCCCAGAGTGCTGGGATTACAGGTGTGCACCACCATGCTTGGCTCTAATGGCTGGGTTTTTATTTTATGTTTATTTAGGTACCAGGGATTGAACTCAGGACCTTGCACTTGTGAGGCAGGTGTGGTGCCACTGAGCTAAATCCCTGGCCCCTGGCTTTTTAAGCAGTAGTTTATTTGATGAAAATGGCAATTTAGAGTGGGGTATTGTGACACCAGTCTGTAATCCCAGGACTCAGGAGGCTGGGGCAGGAAGATCACTAGAAGGCCAGCCTGGGCTACATAGTGAGTTCAAGGCCAGCCTGAACTCTACATAGCAAGACCGTGTTTCAGAAAAAAAAAAAATTTTTTTCTTTTTGGTTTAGTAAACTCAGCAAGTGTGAGATCTCTGGCTTCATTCTGGTCATTTCAATAAGTTTGCTTTGATTGCTCTTATAAATTTCTAGAATTTGATTTAAAAAGGGAAAATTTTGAGGGCAAAACTGCTAACAAAGAAGCCAGCAACACCACCTGTGAGATTTTACAAGACAACTGATTGCTGTAACTTTTTATTCATTATTCAAGTTATATAGGCTATGAGAAGCCCTTGACACTCTTACTCTCTCATCTGTATTCCTGCCTTCCAGATAAACTCACATTTGGAACCGTGACCTGGAGTGCCTTTAGCTTCAGAGTCCTTTCCTGGGCATTTTTCTGATGGCCCTTTCAGTTTCTCTCCCTACAGAACTTCTGGACAGCCACTGTTCTAAGGGTTTAGGCTGTGAAATCCCAGAGATTACAGATGAGCTGGATTGCCTTTGGTCTCTATTCTTCCCCATGATTCTGTACCCCTATTTTTTACTTTTCCTGCCTGGCCTGGAAGGCATGAGAGGATATGACTCTTAGCGAGGACAGACTTTTAGAAAGAGGCCAAAAATGGTGGGAGCTGGGGACTGCAAGGTCCTCCTGTGGCCCCCACCTCTTTAGCTGAAGGGAATTCTTCCTCGTAACAGGCCAGTGAAGATAAATCTACTTCACAAGGCGCTAAACAACATTGTATATAGTAAAACAATATTCAGTTAAGACTTTCTTGGGCCAGGGATTTAGCTCAGTGGTTGCGCCGCCTGCCTTGCAAGCCAAGGACCCGAGTTTGATCCCCGGTACCAAAAAAAAAAAAGAGACTTTCTTGAAGAGCGAAACTGAGATAAGTTTTCAGGTTTAGGTAATAGTTGCATGTATTTGCTAACTTTTAGAATGAACAAAACATGATTCATGTTAATTTTTTTTTTTTTTTGATACCGGGAATCGAACTTGGGACTTTGTGCTTGTGAGGCAGGTGACAGAACCACTGAGCTAAATCCCCAGCCCTCATGTTAATCTTTAACTTACTTTTTCTAACAGAAATTATGGTAACACAATGTAACTTCCTTTGCTTCCGCTTTGACTTCTGCAGCACTATCATAACAAGGGTCATTTTTTGCGAAAACATTTAGTGGACTCAGCAGTTTTTCCCAAGGCCTCTTGAACCTTTCATATTTTCCTCCATCATCACACCTGCCATGTTGTTACACTCATCCATTTTCTCTTTTCTGTTAACTAGTCTAACTGCCTAACATGCATTTGATGTATTGGAAGCAACTCTTTTCCCATATTGGTTTCATCCACCTTGAGAAATCTTGTATCCTTAACAAATTTGCAGTTTTACTTTGCAGTTAATTTGCTCTGATAGGCAGATTTTAAAAAATCATATATGATAATATGATCTGAAATATTTGAAATTATGAGTGGGGTGGATCCTACTTAGTAAAGATATTTGAGTTGGAAACTAATTTTGTGAAATTTTATGTTAGTGAGTTTTCATAATTCTGATACTTTGCTTTCCTGCATAATGTTTAACTTGGGAGCTCAGATAATGAATACTGTTAGCCTTCTGTGTCTGGGATCCATGTCTGTGGATCCAACCAGCTGTAAAATGAAAATATTCAAAAAACAATTGTGTCTGCATGGAACATGTACAGACTTTTCTTTTCTCTTGTCATTCTCTAAACTGATAATTCACAGCATTTACATTGTACTATGTATTATAAGTAATTTAGATATAATTTAAAGTATACAGGAGGATATGCATGGACAATATGCAAATAACGTGCCATCTTATGTAAGAGACTTGAGCCTGCACAAAGTTTGATATCTGCAAAGATCCTGGAGCCCATCGCCATAGATACTGAGGGATGAATGTGCTCTGAAATTTAGACCCTAACTCCAGTCCCACTGTGTACTGACTAAATGAAGAGAGGCACCTTCACTGGGAAAAAAGCCACTTTGAAGGCTTTTTGTTACTGCATTTTTCCAAGAGCCAGAGAGATACTTTAATTTATATAAACACCTTTTACAGAGATAGCAGGAAGCATTGGAGGGGCATTAGAACCAAGAACTGGGGAATTTTTGTTCTGACACCAGGTGTGCACTAACTAGTTTTGTGCCATTAGACAGGTCTCCTATCATTTCTCAGCCTGCAGTGCTCATCTGTGAAATGAGGCAGTCGTTTCTTTGTAAATTATGAATTATCAAGTGTAAACAGAAGCATTGAGGTCCCACCCAGATTCACTAGACCCCTCTGCAGCATAGTACCATCTCCAGCACCAGGCACTGACATTGATAGCCAGGAAAATGCCAACAAGAGAAGCAGCATCTCTGCTTTGTTCTCCTGGCGGAGCTCCTTGGAATGCCAGCCAAGCATTTTTCTCCGTCCTGGAAATTTGCTTTTCAGACTTCAGGGAGAGGGCGGGGGAATTTAGCTCAGTGATGCTGCCTCCTGCCTTGCAAGCACAAGGTACTGGTTGCAAAAAAAAAAAAAAAGAAACAAACTTCAGGGAGAATGGTACCTTACTAACCATTTTCCCCACTGCATGAGAGAAGAAAGGACACTTTGATATTTTAACAATACAGACAGTGTGCTAGCCCTGAGTAGGTCGCAGGGCTGGGGTCTCCAGGCTGGAATTTGTTTTGGGACTGGTTTTGTCATATAACTTGCCTTGCAGATGCTGGATCCCCTGAGCAGTGCTGAAAATTCCTTGTCGGGAAGCTGCCAGTCCTTGGACAGGTCAGCAGACAGGTATGGGGCTGTGGGTGGTTTGGGTGTTAATGCATAGGCATTTTAGGAACTGATGGGTTAAGGAAGTTGACTTATCGAGGTGTATGTCTGATCTCACCACATCCACAGGCCCAGGGTTGAAACATCAAGCTTCCAGGAAAACCCTTAATTTCTCAAACACCATGACAATGTTTTGTTTGCATAATAAAATGAACATAGCAATAGTTTATAGGTGGGCGTGGTGGTGCATGCCTGTAATCCGGCACTCAGGAGGCTGAGGCGGGAGGATTGCCACAAGTTTGAGGCTATCCTGGACTACACAGTGAGGTCTTGTCTCAAAATTTTTTTTAAAAAGTTTATAAAATAGCTTATTTATTAAGTGCTTTCTGTGCTGTTCTAAGTGTTTCACATGTTTTGACTTTCAACATAATATATGCTGCTCTTGTACTTTTTTTTGGCCTTATTGGTGAACTGAGAAACAATGTGCTGTTGAAGTTTGCAGGGGAAACTGAATTTTCACTCATTTTCATTTTTTTCCTCCCAAGTGTTTCTGGTAGAATAAGAATGGGATATAAAAATAAGAAAACAAAATATCCAGACTGCCTGGCATACCACACACTACCTGCTTGTAATAAATCCTGTTCTGTTGTTTTGGTTTTTTGAGACAGGGTCTCACTACATAGTTCAGACTGGCTTTGAACTCACTATGTAGCCCAGGCTGACCTTGAACTCACAGCAATCTTCCTGCCTCAGCTTCTGATTTCTGGGCTATCAGGTGTATGAAACATGCCTGGCCATAAATCCTGTTCTTTACACCCTGTGAGGGAACAAGTGTGTCCTTTAGATACCAAATAGCTTTGTGGGTCAGGGCTCAGCACTGGTTCCGCAGCTTCCTTGCCCTGACCTTGTTATGATCATCTCTGGCACGCTTAGGATAATCAGGACATAGGGAGCAGGTTTGGGGTTTTATTGTTTAATTTTTTTAATTTGTGTAACTGACTAATTGTTCATGTGAGATCTGATCTTGTGACTGTGGCCAAATTTGGACAGTGTCTTTCCTAATAGGCCTGATAAGTTCTGTCTTCCTCTAGATATCATAGAGTCATAGTTATTTGTTGGGCTTGCTTTCCAACCAGGGGAGCAAAAAGGTACCAGTACAAGTGCAGGAGTTGCTGCCACAGGCTGAGGCCTCTGCCAGAACGGGGATGACTCTGGCTTTGGACTATCTCCTGAACTTTGGGTGGGAAGGAGGACAGGTCTAGAAGCTGGGCAGTAGGGACAGCCCTGAGTCACTGCCTTGAGAGTTTCTGACCTGCGGCACTGTCGGAAGGCACTTTCATTACCTGGGTGACTGTGCTTGTAATCTTATTGGTCGATCATGGCTTTGCCCCACCTCATGCCCACCTTGTAAATTTTCACTGGGTCTTATAGTTTTGTCCCACTTTGTACCTGCCTCACCACATGGCTTTGCTGTATAAAACATCCTTGAAAAGTGGGGTGGGTGGGCAACCCACTTTCTGGTCCCCCTTCTGTTTCTCTTAGGCAGAAGCTTTCTTTCTCCCAATAAATTTTTCGTACTCAAAAAAAAAAAAAAACCAAAAAAACCAGGCACTTTCATGTCAGGGCAAGGGCCCTTCGGGTGGATGCTGGAAAAGATAGCTAAGTTCACCTCTTTCTTATTCTTGGTCCCTACAGTGCTTTTTTTCTTCTCCTGGAGACCAACTTCTCTGAGGTCCATCCTGCCCTACACCCAGGGCTCTCATCTTAACTTTTTGGAAACTGGAATGGGGCAGATCTGGAACCAGATAGACCTAGATCCAGTCCCAGCTCTAGCAGACAAGTCCCTTAACTCTGAGTTCCTCAGTTTCCCCATTCTAAAATGATTGGTCTGAAAGGAAGATGCCTCATATTGCAGCAGGAACATGGACTTTGAATTGAAGCCTCGCTCTGTTGCTTCCTGCCTGTATCATTGGACAAGTAAATAGGAATCTTCATACCTGACCTACAGGGTGTCTGCGGCAGATGTTCAGTAATTGGCACCTGATATTATTTTTATGTTTTCTTCCTCAGAGTTGTGAGGATTAAATGAGAAAAAGCTCACTCTATAAAATAAATCTGAAAGCAGTTTATAAGCTACAATATTATCATCTTTTTTGTTTGTTTGTTTGTTTTTGGTATCAGGGATTGAACTCAGGACCTTGCTCGAGGCAGGTGGGAGGCAGGTGGGGCCACCACTGAGCTAAATCCCCAGCCCTACAATGTTATCTTTATCACTGCCTGAGCTGGGAATTTTCTTGCAGCTTTTCATCTGTTACAAAAGTGGGAAGAAAGGCCAAGAAGAGAGACAGGTGCTCAGCTAGGGTAGAGTTCAGTAGGCTGGGCCTATTTACTAGTCAGGGTCCTGGTCAGATTTGGGCCTCTGACTAATGAAAGGAAGGGGAGAAAGCAAGAGACCAGGTCCTGGAAGGGCTGCTTTCCTCCTCCTTTGCTTCCCTCCTGTGCATGTGGGGTAGTTAGCAGGGGAGACAGACCACCTGGGTGCTCTGCCTCCTTTTCTGCCCTCTGGGCTGCTTTGGAAGTGCACTGAGGTTTATTTTGTGATTCATTGTTGTTTTCTCCAGTCCATCCTTCCGGAAATCACGAATGTCCCGAGCCCAGAGCTTCCCAGACAATAGACAGGAATACTCAGGTGAGTTCAAGGAGCCTGGGTAGGCCCTACAGGATGTCTGGATGGGGCCAGGGCTGGTTCTGAGTTGGGAAACCTGGACTGTATGGAAATTTTCCTGCGCCTGCTGCTATAGCCCCAGGTGACCTGGGACTTATGTGGCTCATTCACGGATCGTCCCAGAGGTCAGTGATTCCCCTGTCTCACTCAGATCGAGAAACCCAGCTCTATGACAAAGGGGTGAAAGGTGGAACCTATCCCCGGCGCTACCACGTGTCTGTGCACCATAAGGACTACAATGATGGTGAGTGCGTCTCCATGCTGCCCCCTGCTGGCTGCCTTGGGAAAGACCATGCTTAGAGTTCTGACATGGAAAGCAAGGAGATGGGGAACCCTGAGCTCCAGCCTCTGCATTCCCCTTTATTCCTAAGAAATTGTGCCCCAGACTTGAGGAGAGAGAGACAGAAAACTTACCAGTTAGGGAGAATGGTATTTGTACACCAAGATGCTACCACTCCCTGGTCCCTGGTGTGCTGTGGGGTGCCACCTCTCCAAAGCCTTCTGCAGCAGCTGCAGAAAGACTAGAACTTTGACTTGATTTGGGGTGGATGCTAAGGACAGCAGCCTTTGTGGCATAAATCAGGTGGGAGGGCAGATAGGATGGACCAGAGCTGGTATTATTTGTCTTTTCTAGCTGGTTTGCACATTCAGTCTTATGGCCAAGGGTCTAACTTCCTCTACTCTGGTTCTTGTACTTTTTCAGGCAGAAGAACATTCCCCCGAATACGACGTCATCAAGGCAACCTGTTCACTCTGGTTCCCTCTAGCCGCTCCCTAAGCACAAATGGCGAGAACATGGGTCTGGCTGTTCAATACCTGGACCCCCGTGGGCGCCTGCGGAGTGCAGACAGCGAGAACACTCTTTCTGTTCAGGAGAGGAGTGTGCCAACCAAGTGTGAGTGTCCCTGGCTAGGAAGAGACTACTAAGGGTGCTCAGACAAGCTGTAGGGGCAGGAGGACAGCCGGGCCTTTCCAGTGGTTAGGCTCAGCACTCTGCTCCTCTGGCCCATCTTCTCCATACTGAGATAGCCTTGGAGGGTGTAGCACACCCTGGACCTTATGCCTGGCTCCACTGCTGTGGACTTCTGTCCGGTCTTTAGTTGTTCCACGCTCAAACTGAAGAGCATGCCCTCAATTCCTGCCATATTGTTTAGGAGCTTTGTAAGTAAAACTCTTTGATCAGTGTAGAAGAGCACTTTACTATGACTTTGGCTGACCTCTGCTTCCCAGGATTCTGACCTTAAGGTCCCATTGACCAGGGCACTGGGCCTGTTCCAGTGGGTGGAGGTGCAGTACTGAGAGAATTGGTGGTGGTGCTAGGTAGGGGTGGGGCCTGAGCCAGAGGCCCCATGATCCAGCATCTGCAGAATGAGAAGGGTCTCTGTAACGAACATGCATATCATAACACAATTTCTATTTTTCTGTAGCTCCTAGTGCCCCCATCAATTGGCGCCGGGGGAAACTCCTGGGCCAGGGTGCCTTCGGCAGGGTCTATTTGTGCTATGATGTGGACACAGGACGTGAACTTGCTTCCAAGCAGGTCCAGTTTGACCCAGACAGTCCTGAGACAAGCAAGGTACCACCTTCTCCATGTTCTAACCTCCATTTCTTCCCTTCCAATGAAAATGCTTATCTTATTATTGCACAGATGAATTGCTCAAGGTGCTACAACTTGCCTCCCTGTCACTCTTCTCCCAGGCTCCCTTGCTATCCACTCTGGCCTTGAAGCACCTGGGAGAGGAACTGAGTCCATACCAAAGTCCCAAGGAACCCAAATTGAGAAGTGATGACCAGTGTACTACTCCCTGTCTTGGCTTCCCAAATAGACACCTCTCCCCAGCTTTCAGTCTAAGAAGGAACCACGGGGTTCATTTGTTTGGTCCAATTCTAAAGGAGGAATATGTGGCCCATACTTCACCTTGAGTAGATTATCTTTGTTTTGTTTTTGTTTTTTTTGGTACCGGGGATCGAACTTGGGTCCTTGCGCTTGTGAAGCAGGCAGCAAAACCACTGAGCTAAACCCCTGGCCCGAGTAGATTATCTTTGATAGTTACCTTAACTAAGCCTCCACAAGCCTTCTTCCCTCCCCGCTGTCTGCCTCCCTCTAGGCCTGGAAATGCCACATCCGAGGGTTACCCAGCATTGTGGCCGAGGGCCAGACAGTTGGGAAGTCCCCCTTTTCTCCAGACGAAGTTCCCAAGGCAGACCCTTGTGAGGTGTAGATTAAGGCAAGCTGAGCTGACCACGGGCCCTGAGTGCCCAGGTGACCACTGGCCCCTCCGTAGGAGGTGAGTGCTCTGGAGTGTGAGATCCAGCTGCTGAAGAACCTGCAACACGAGCGCATAGTGCAGTACTACGGCTGCCTGAGGGACCGTGCCGAGAAGACTCTGACCATCTTCATGGAGTACATGCCAGGGGTATGTGCTCCTTGAATGTATGCAAGACTCAAAAGAGGCCCTGACTTGGGACTGAGGGCTTCGAGGAGGGTCACCCTTGAGGTGGGTCTGACTCCCTGAGGCTTCAGAGCTCGGGAGCCACGTGGGGTGATGGCAGAGTTTAGGGTCAGAAGGGCCCTATCTGTGGCTGCAGTGAGGGTGAGGTAAGAACTGTCCCAGACCCAGCCTAACGTGCTGTGGGATGGCTATTTGTGGTCGAGTAAGCACAATATTCACCTGGAACTGAGGCCCTTTCTCTAGACTCGCATCCTGCAGTGCTTGTGGGAAAGACTGTTTCATGCTTTTTTCCAAGCTGTCCAGCAGCTCCTAGCAAAGTATCTTCCATATCACAAACAGGACTTGGTTGAATCTCTGCTTTCCTGCAGTCCTGGGGGCTGGAAATAGCCTTGCTCCCTCCCAAAGCCATCCCCTGAGAGGACTCCCTCTGACCCCTTGTGGCTGGTAGGGCTCAGTGAAAGACCAGTTGAAGGCCTACGGAGCTCTGACGGAGAGTGTGACCCGCAAGTACACGCGGCAGATCCTGGAGGGGATGTCTTACCTGCACAGCAACATGATTGTTCACCGGGACATCAAGGGTGAGCAGGGCAGGCTGTGTGAAGTCCTCAAGACTTGGGTTCAAGGATATCATTTCGTGAACTAGGTGGGCCAGTGTATCATTCTGAACTTTCTGGATAGGGCCCCAGGTTCTTCCCCAGTTGGGGGTTGGTGTGAGATTGGTTAAGCAATTTGGGAAAATACCCTCTAGTGCTGTGCAAATGTTGGCCATGGAGATGATCACTTTGTACTGTGGGTATGTGGGTGTGTTGTATGCAGCTCCTGTCTATTTCCATGGTGGTCCATACCCTCCCAGCAGCTCTCAGTGACCTGGAGCAAGGATGGTAGGAAATGGAAGCATCTCAGGTGATTGTCTCTGCCCTTTCATGCCTTAGGAGCCAACATCCTCCGAGACTCTGCTGGGAATGTGAAGCTAGGGGACTTTGGAGCCAGCAAACGCCTGCAGACCATCTGCATGTCAGGAACAGGCATGCGCTCAGTCACCGGCACACCCTACTGGATGAGCCCCGAGGTGATCAGCGGCGAGGGCTATGGAAGGAAGGCAGATGTGTGGTGAGCATTAGGACATGCTGGGAATCCCGTCTTCTTGCCTTGGGTTTCATAGCTCCAAATTGGAAATCACCTGGGTGTAGTAGGAGAGACTGAGGACCTGGATCTTGCACCCAGAGCCTAGGCTCCAGGTGTGCAGGGGTGGTGCCAGCTGTAGCACATGAGGGCTGCGGTGTGTTTAACCTCATAGGATACTGTTAGTGCTGGGAACTTAGGCCATGAAAAATAACCTCAATGTTGGCTGAATCCCTTTAAGAAGAGGATCCACTCTGAAGGCTTAGCTCTCTCTAAACAAGAGCAGACTTCTCCTTGTAGCACTTAGATGGCTTGCATTTGTTCTGCCTAACTGTATGCCCTTCCTCAGAAAGGACTTAGAAGTTGTGAGAACTTCTCTCCTTGGCAAGTTATTGTGGCAGGCTGAGCAATAGTCCCCCCAAAATGTCCATGTCTTGATCCCTGGATGTTACCTTATGCTGTATGGCAGCAGGGTCTTGGCAGCTGTGACTAAGGACATTGATATGGGCAGGTTGTCCTGGATTATGTCGGTGGGCCCAGTATATATATATATATGTATGTGTGTATATATATATATATATATATATATATATATATATTTTGGTACCGGGGATCGAACTCGGGTCCTTGTGCTTGTGAGGCAGGCAACGGAACCACTGGGCTAAATCCCCAGCCCAGTGGGCCCAGTATAATCACAAGGGCCCTTATAAAAGGGAGGTAGGAGGACTGGGGTGTAGCTCAGTGTCCCTAGAGTACTTGCTTAGCATGTGGAAAGCTCTTGGGTTCCATCCTCAGCTCAAAAAAAAAAGTAGGGGAGGAGGGACAGGAGGTCAGAGTGGGTAGTGGGAGATGTGACAGTGGAAGCACAAGGCTGGTGCAAGGCAAGGAGAGGGGCCATGACCCAAGAAATGCAGAGAGACCGGGGGACATCTCATTGGTAGAGCTCGTGCTTACCACATGGAAGGGCCTGGGTCCAGTCCTCAGCATGGGGACAGGGAAGGGGAGGAGGCGAAGGAGCAGAGGTTCAGAGCTTCCAGAAGGAGCCATCCTTGCCGACCTTAACTTTAGCCCAGGGAGATTGATTCTCAACTGCTGACCCCCAGAACTGTTGTAGTCATGTAGTAATTTGTTACAGCAGCAATAGGAAACAAATACAATTGTTTTGGAGCCTCCCCCACAAACACACACCGTGGTGGGAATGGAACCCAAGGTCTCACACATGACAGTCGTTCTGCTACTGAGCTGTACTCTTGGACCTCTTTCCATCAGTGTTTAGTGCTACCTTTTGCCTAGTCTCAAGAAGTCCCAAGGTGCTAGGCATGGTGATACCTGCCTGTAATTGCGGCATTCTGGGAGCCTAAAGCAGGAAGACCACAAGTTTGAGCCTAGCCTGGGCAACTTAGTGTCCGAGTGAGACCCTGCCCCAGAATTTTAAGAGTACTGGAGTTGTAACTCAGTGCAAAGGCCTTGAATTCAGTCCCCAGTACCACAGAAAAAAAAAAGTTCCCTGGTGAGTGGTGGGGTATAGGCTTGTCCTGTATGTGGGCTCTGAAGGCTGAGAGTGCTTTGAAGCCTCTTTGTCCTTGGAGAATCCAGCGACATCAACCACCAGCTTAGCCCATCTTGTGCCTCAGTGTGCTCTGAAGAAGGCATCTCATCATAGCAGTGGGTGCACAGCCAGGGCCTGGAGCTGTCTGAAGGGTGACATGGGGCTCTCTCTCCAGGAGCCTGGGCTGCACTGTGGTGGAGATGCTGACAGAGAAACCGCCATGGGCAGAGTATGAAGCAATGGCCGCCATTTTCAAGATTGCCACCCAGCCCACCAACCCTCAGCTGCCTTCCCACATCTCTGAACATGGCCGGGACTTCCTGAGACGCATTTTTGTGGAGGCTCATCAGAGACCTTCAGCTGAGGAGCTGCTCACACACCACTTTGCACAGCTCGTGTACTGAGCTCTCAAGGCCGTGCTGCTGCTGGCCACCCTGCTGCATGGGCAAGGGGCTGCTGCAGGGCTCGACAAAGTTGCTGCTTCTCCCAGGCAAGGGTGTGGACCATGGAGCTGCAGTCCAGCCAGCATTTGTCTGTGCTCTTTCTGCCCCTGGAGCTCAGAGCCAGATGGGATACCTGCAACCTCAAGGACTGGGAGACCCCAGCCTGCCAGACCGAAGAGCTCCAGCATCCTAAGTTCAGTGTGGGGAGGAAGGGCTGGAACAGTGTGCGCTGCGGCTGTGGGCCCCACCCTTGGGATGTCCTGACACTGCAGTCCATGCTGAGGCCCAGAGCGCCTGGGGCCCAGGACTGACACAAGGGTTTGAATAGTGTTATTTTCATTCAGAGTGTTATTGTTTCTCCTCCCAGTGTCTGGAGACCACCAGAGTGTCTGTGGACTAGAGCCCACCCAAGCCTAAGGTAAAGCCCGGCATCCCTCAACCAGTGGAAGGCAGAGGCCTGGGCCACCCTCTTCTATAGAGCCCCAGGTCAGCTTTGCCAGTCCTTGTTCTTTACCAAAGATGAAGCAAATGTTATGCTGCCTTATTCAGGGAAGGAGGAGCCTGTCCTGCCTGCCCCCATGACCCTGCACCCTCAAGCAGGTGCCTGAGATGTGGAACTGCCCCCACTGAGTGGGGAGACCCAGCTTTGTCAATGCAGTTGTCTCTGTTTTACAAGTTGGAGTCACTCTTATGCTGTACCCAGTTTCTAAACTGGAGACTTGTGTGCCCGCTGGGCTCTGAATATCCGTGTGGGCTTGGGCCTTGGGTTTCATTGGAAAGAGCTATTGCGGTAGCTGGTGTGCTCCTGGCCTAATATCCATTCCCCTGCTGGAGCAGAGAAGGTAGACAACTCAAGGGTATCTGGATAGCTGGGTGCCCTGAGCCTGACTGGGCCATTCAGGAGAGCCCCGGCAGTTGTCTTAGACTGTGAGTCATGACCCTGCCAGGCCAGAGCCCATAAGCTGCCACCAACTGTGTCCAAAACCACCAGCTCTCTTCTTCCTTAGCCCACCTTGCCCATTCCAGTGAGGTCTCAGCCTCTTTCCCGTCTTGCTCCTCCTATGTGGGAGGAATGGCAACAGTGGTTGTGGAAACAGTATCTCCAAGCAGCTTAGAGTTGGCCATATTTACCTCAGCCTGGGTGCTGGTCCTTTCTTCCGGCCCCTCCCCTCCAAAATGTGCCTATCGCTTGAGCTCCTCCCTTCCCAATGCCCAATTTTCCTTGGGAGTTGTCATTAAAGGGGGTAAAAAGCCAGTGCCCAGGGGTGGGCATCTCCAGGGAGCTGGGGATTAGTGCCAGGCAGCTCATTGCCAGCCATGCCCACTTCCCCACGGGCACAGAATAAGCCAAAGCCTTCGTTGTATGTTGACGATGCACTTTTATGAATGTAGTTTCTATCGCTGTTTTTAGCCTTTTCACATCATGTAATGTGAGGCCTTGTACTTGTTAATTTATATCTCAGATCATATTGGATGGTTTTTATATATATCAATTATAGACTGTTACAGGTGATGGACGCCTCAAGAGAGAAGAGAAAATGAAAGCAGCTGGTTTTGCAGAAATGTGTGCTGCATGGTGGCAATCAGGCCTGGGTCCCTTTATTCCATCCCTTTTCTGCAGGGGCTTCTGTCAGGCCACCTTCCACTGGCAACTGCCCTCTAAGGCCAGTGAACACAAGCTCCTGTCTCCACCCTGGCCCTTGCCCAGGGTGGGGACCGGCCAGCCCATCATCTCAACCAAAGCTGCCAAGCAGCAGCTCAGCCTCTCTATGACCCCATCCTAATCGCTGTAGCACTCCCTGGCCCATACCGTCCCTAGTGCCCCCCCCATCTCCCATGTGGGAACAGCGTGGTGTCACTGACAAGATGAGAGGACTGTCCCAGGTTCAGGCTCTCACAGAGCCCCACCCCCAGGGTCTTACCTCACAGGGAATGTTTTAAAAATAAATTTAAAAACAAGCCAACAATTCCTGAACTCCAATAAAACCAAAAATGACCCTGATTTTGTGCCAAAAACTGTGGACATGCTGGCTCAGCATCCTCAGGACCAAGCTGTCACTTTTAATTTATTGTTTTTTTACTAACTAATCCAGATAAAAAGTTGTGGGGCCCTAGGATGGCCTGGGCCCAAAGGTTCTTAAAAGGCAGTTTGCTAGCTGTCCCAGGCTTGATGTAGGAAGGGGTTACGCCACCATCTTCTCATCCTCCCATGGGGTGTGTCTGCCCTGGCCAACCCCACCCCGGAAGGGCCAGGGCTTGGTCAGTGCACACGCTGCCACCCTCCTGCCCCTCAAGCTCTGTGTCTGTATCTGAATTGTGGATTGTGCAGAAGAACCTGCAGCCATAGTTATTTGACTATATCTTGACTGAGGGCTTGCAGTGCAAAGCCAGGCCAGTGTCACGCATTACTTTCAATAAAAGGGATCATTTATACTAGAAGGGTCCTGTGGCCATGCTTTTGGTTGGGGGGTTATTTGGGAGGGCCTTGATGTGGTGCCTAGCAACAAGCTGAGCCCCCTAAAGTAGAAGAGAACTTGAAATGACTGCAGAAAGAGGGGTCCTGGAATTACCTGGCTGGGTACCACTGTAGGCCCACAGTGGTCTGCCCTCTTTCTTTCCTTTCCCCTCCAGAAGCACCACACAGGGTGGCACACCTGGGCTTTTACTGAGGTGGCACTGTTGGTGCTTCTGACCTGGACATCACCAGTGGCTGGGTTCCTGCGATTTGTGGCACCTAATAGGGTCCTCCAGCCCATCCTTGGTCCCATTCTTGCAGCACAGTAGTCAGAAGTCCCCCTGGCCCATCTACTGCTGTTGAACTCCAGGGAGAGACCTTGTTCCCATTACAGACCTCTTGATACAGGAAGTTGGGTCTGCTGAGGTTGAGCATCTCTCCTGCTTCAAGGTCCTAGGCCTCAGGTGCCCTCTCTGCTTCTTTAAGAAGTAGTGCCTAGCTTAACAGCACAGTGGCTCACCTGCCACCAGGGCTTGAGGCCCAGTTTTCTAGGTAAGAGTCACCAAGGAACTCGGGGAGTTGGATAGGGTAGTGGCAGCAAATCCTCCAGGAGTCTGTTCTTTTGCCCCACCAGCTCATGCATCCCAGGAGCACTTTGGGAAAATCAAGACAACAGTGTCTTCAGGACAATCCAGACTTCTATTTGTCATGAGGGGGTAGGGTGGGTGTTTTAGGTCCTCCAAGCTTGCCTTATTTGCTGTAAACTGCCATCCTTCCATGCTCCTGGGTTCTCAGGAGCAAGCAAACAGCTTCTCCTTAAGTCCAACAGAAATGTTAACCCCAGAATTTGAAAAGGCACCACAAAAGTGCAGCAATAAGGGAAAGGACAGGAAAAAAAAAAGCAGTCGCTAAGACCTTCAGTAGCACCTACAGGTTCCCACCATTCCTTGCAGATTCCAGGCCACAGGGCTGGCTGATACTGAGAGGAGCTGGACAGCTGAGACCAGCTAGAAGGGTCAGACAAGGAGTCAAGGGTTCTGCCTCCTGCCCTCCTCTTCAAAACAAAATCTGAGTCAGTGGACCTGGAGTGTCTTAACCAACTCAAAGCTGGGGGGGCAGAGTGGGTTTCAGTCACAATTGCAGAGGTGGTGCCTTGTTTGGTGGAAGAGCATCCCTTTCTTAAGCTGGCTCGCTATTTCCCTGACACTCATTTCTGCCCCCCACACCAAAGCCAAGAGTGTTCTAGGGCTGTTCCCCCTTCCCCTCCATAGGGTGGGTCTGCATTCTTCCTGCCACAAAGCCCCCCATCAGGCCACATAATACAGAGTCAAGATCTATTTAAACGTGTTTAAAACGGGTGATCACATCAGTCATAGGGGCAGGAATAAGGGAGAGCAAGGGAGCATGGAAGCTGCTCACCCAGCAGGTCTCAGGCTCTCAGCCTGGCAGAAGCTTTTAACTTCCTGGTGTAAGAGGGTCCCAAGCCCCAAAAAGGCAGGTCCTGCCTTGCCAGGCCACTTCCCCATCCCCTCCCCCGACTGCAGAGGTGGCGTCCATGAGGCCCAGCAGGCGGCGCACTCACTCTACTTCCGGTCCCTGTAGCTCAGGAGCAGGTTATGAGTAGAGGTAGATGGGGAGACTTGGCGGCTGCACACAGCCTAGGTGGCAGTGAGGGTGCTTGGGACCCTGAGGGGGGCATGCTGACTCCTTGCTGGAGAAAAGGCACCTAGTTAGGGAAACTGGTCTTGGGGGGCCTCCCAGGGGGTTGTGAGGTGGGGTGGGGTAGGCTGAAAGAAGGAAGCAGGGTGGAGCGCAAACTCTAATCCTGGCTCCCAAACCCCTACCCGCTGAGGGAGGAGGAAGGAATCATAGAGCAGAGCCCTGCACCTGGTACTTTCTGCCTGAGGAGCTTCGCCCCCTTCCCACCCTGCAGCCCACCCAAGCCTAAAATCAACCTCTTTCCCATCCTTCCTATGGCCCAGTTCCAGGCCCTCTGCGGAGGGAGCAGAAGGTCACGGGGACCTCAAGCTGTCTTGGTGCCAGAGTCCACCTCCTTGTGGGTCCAGAGCTCCTTGTGCTGCTTGCGGCCGAACCCCTCATCGTAGTTGCCTTTGCTCTTAAACAGCTGCTGGAAGTGGGGTTTGCAGTAAAACTCGCCGTGCAGAGCCGCATAGCTGCCCAGGCTGCGGAAGTAGAACAACCAGGTCAGGCCGGGTCAGGGCCGAAAGTCAGGGCCCAGGCAGGCAGGGCAGGGTCGCACCTCAGCTTGGTGTGGCAGTGCTTGCAGCAGAAGCAAGAGTTGTGGAAAATAAGCTTGTCAGCCACCAGCCGCTCCATGGGGTACACAGTCTTCTGGCAGGCGGTGCAGGTCTCTTTCACTTGGGCCGGCAGGCTAAAGGACTGCAGGGGGACACTTAGCCAAGGGGCTGGCCAGCACCCACCCTTTCCTCCGCCCACACCCACCCTGAGGACCCTACCTTGGAGCGCTGCACAGTGCTGCTGCCACCACCGCCTTTGGCTTCCTGAGGGAGAGGGCAGGGTCAGCTCTGGGGTGGCCCTGCCCAGATCCCAGGCCACTTAAGAGGGGGGAAAGGGTGCCAGGCAAACAGGCTGCTCCTCTCCCTTCATCCTTCCCCCTCAGATGGTCACCTACATGAGAGGGGGTGGTCTGGGCGGCTCCTGCAGCCTGGAACATGGCTCTTCGGAAGTGATGGAGGTCCCGGGCTGAGACTCGGCACCCGCTGGGTTCTGCAACGGGAAGTCGTTTGGTGGGGCCCCACGAGCCCTTCCCCCAGGCTGCAGGGTGGGGGTGTTTACAGACCAGGGGCTGGGGGGCTGTGGTTGGGACTTTCCCTAAGTCATTTCCTGTTGCTTTTGGTTTTGCCACTTCCGCCCCTCACCCATCCCTTCGCCTGCCCGCCCCCAACGCTGACCCCCATGGGCAGGGTCCCAGAGTTGGAACCATGTGTAGGACAAAGTTATCGGTGAACGGCTGTGGACAGGGGGCTCCGCGCAGCCACTCTGAGCGCGCCGTGGGGCGGCCCCCTCCTGGGGTGAAGGGGTCAGTAGAGGGCGGGGCCGGGAGCGGCCCGGAGAGAACCCGTTGCCCCCGCTTGAACCACACCGTGCACTGCCCAGTGCCAGGCCCAGGCGCGCAGCCCTGGACAGCGCTCCTGCTGGCCGCCTGCCCACCCGACCGCTCCTTCGCCCGCGGCCCGCTCCTCGGCCTGCGGACCCAAGGGGACCCGACCCCAGACCCCGGCCGCCCGCGGGCCCGGCCCTAAAGGGCGGACGCCAGTCTTGGGGCTCCGAGAGAGAGCGACGCGCGGACCCGCTGGTCGTGGGGACCCCGCGGACGGCGGCGGCCCTCGCCCCCCACCTCAGCGCCCAGGTTCGCGCGCCGGATGCAGGCCCTCCCCCCGGCCGCCCGCGGGTCTCACCGGGCCCCGGCCTACGCCTCGGGGCGGGGGTTAGTTTGCAAGGGCCGCCTCGGGTGCGAGGAGGGAGCGGGAGCAAGCTGCCGCAGCTGCCAGTGGTCCCCGCCTTATCCCGGTGCCGCCCCCGCCGGCCGCCGGCCCCCGCCCCGCGCCCGCCCATTGGCTCCGCCGCGCCCGGAGCCGCCTCCGGGGCCCCGCCACCGCCGCCGACCCCCCTCCGCGCTTTGTCTTTCCCTGGCTCGCTGTCCCCCGCCTTTGTCTGCCCCCCGCGCCGACCCTGCGCTCCCGGCCTTCGGACCCCGTGCGTGCCAACCGCTAGGGACTGTCCCGTCTGCCCTCTCCCGACGCCCCTTGGTCCCCGGCAGCCTCGCGTGGTGAAGGGACCAACGACAGCGAGGTCCCCGCACCGCATCCCCCGGGGGGGGGGGGGACAAGTTCAGGCTGTGGCTGCGCCGCCCCTAGAACCATGCCTAGGCCTTTCCCTGCCTCGGTTTCTCCTGTTGGTGCTTGTGGACACAGGTCCGGGTGGCCGCAGTACTGCCTGGTGCTGTGTGGGCCCCGAAGCCCGAAAGACCCCGCTGGTGCGACCCGGGAGGTAGCCCAGGGCCTCCGGGCTGGTATGACCCCCGCACCCCCGCGGGCCGCGAAGTCCTCCGACCGCCAGGGGCCGCCCCCACGCAAGCGGGGGCCCCCCGCGGCAGATGGGAGCAGTATGCGGTCTCGCCAGGTCCCGCAGCGAGGCTCCGAAGCCCGGTTGCCCGAAACCCAGGGAGGGCCTGGGTGGCTCGCCTGTCCCAGGGGTCCAGCGGGATCACCACCCCTATGGGTCTCTCGGAGCACACTCTCTGAAGGCCCCACGTCCCAAAGCGTTTCTGTGGTCGGATTCTGCGGGATTGCTAACCCTGGCCTTATGGGAAGCCGGGGCACACCCTCAGGATAAGGTTTGCCATCCCTCGGGCAAGCAAATCTCAGGCACCCAAACCTCATTCCACAAATGGGAGTCTAGACCTGAAGATTTTAAGTGACTTGTTCCAGGGAGCAGAGAGCTCAGCAGAGCTGCTCCCTGCTGCCCGGCCCTAGCCCACAGCACCGCAGGTCTCAGGTGAAGGCCACTTGTGAGACGAGGCTCAGCTGTGCTGAGGGCACACGGAGCAGTCTCCTGAACGTGGTCCTCTGCCGGGAGCCCGAGGCTTACAGCCACTGGCTTTGCCCGAAGCCAGGAGGGAAGTTGTCTGAGGAAGCACAGCTTCACTGTTCCCACACTGTGGCAGGAACAGAACTGTAGCTCCAGAGCGGGCCGACACATTTGTCAAGGAACAGAACAGCTCCACACCTCCTGCCTGGCTGGGGAGCGGGGAGCAGCAGGCAGCAGGCAGCAGGCAGCCCAGCCCCCAACTGTTTCCCTGGCTCGCTGTCTGCACCCACGCTGAGCTTCACTGTTCTCCCTCAGCCCTGGGGGGTGTGGGGGTGTGTGTGGTGTGTGTGTGTTTTCTGACGCGGGAGCTGGGGCCCCTGAGGACTCCCTGATGGGCATTTAAGAACTCTACAACCCTGTGTGTCTCTCTCTTTGGGGGTGAGACACACTTACAGATTTTCCAAGGGGTGTTTGATGCAAGAAAGGTGAAGCCCATGCAGGCACTAGGAACAGGCTCCCAGACCTCCAATCACTGCCTTGGCCTAGGATCATCTGTGGGCCGAGCTGCAGGTGGCTACCTTAGAATCACCAGTTTTGGTGTGAGGATGAGCTGACTGCAAAGAAGAAGGCAGCTGGGAAGGAAAGAAAACTGATAAAGTGGTGCTGTGCTAAGAAAAGGCTAGTGTGGTGACACACACCTGCAGTCCCGAGCTACTGTACCTGGGAAACTAAGGCAAGAAGATCATTTGAGCCCAGGTGTTTGAGACCACCGGGGCAACAGTGAGACCCTGTCTGTAAATACATTAAGTAAAAAGAGTAGGAAGCTAGCTGGAAATAGATGTAATTGGTTTTGGGGGGTTTTTTTGGTACCGGGGATCGAACTCGGGTCCTTGCACTTGTGCACCAGGCGGTGAAACCACTGAGCTAAATCACCAGCCGAAATAGATGTAATTGGGCACTCTCATTCCTTCTGGTCTCCTACCCATGCTGTATAGTGCATGCCATTCGCTTCATCTCAGTCCCTGTAATGCTTGAAGAGATTTTTAAATTTTTCATCTTTAAACTGGTGTTAAAATTTCTGAGGCAATGGCAAGGCCATATGATGGTTCAGAGCAGCCTCAGGGAAGATGGAGGGGCACTTCCTTAATCTGACATTTCAAGTGCCAGAGCCAGTGAAACCCTCACCCTGAGGGACTGCCAACATGGACAGCCTTGCCTGGAGCGGTGGATGCACAAAACATACCTGTGCACATGCCTGTGAGGCACCAGAGGGGACCTCCTTAGAGCTGTCCCCTTGCTCCCACTCACTGGCTGCCACAATGATGAGAGTAGGCAGCTCTGGTTCTAAGGTTACTTGCTCTTTGAGCATTAGTACCAATGGTAAGGAGACTAAACTCCACCCTTTTCTGCCAAAGTTGAGCATTTTCTGCCCTGACCCCTAGTGTCCTGGAAGTGGTTGTAGAGAGTGGCTGGTTTTGGCACCCAGATCTTTCCAGCTGCAAATAGTTTGATGGCCACAGACAAAAATACAGTCGTTTTGAAATTTTAGGTAGTGAACAGATAATTATAGGTAAAAGAAATTCTTGCTGGGTATTGGGGAGGCTGAGGCAGGAAGATCATCATGAGTTCAAGGCCAGCCTGGGCTACATAATGCGTTCAGGTCCAGCCTAAATCACAGAGACCCTGCCTCAAAAAAAACAAAAACCTGTTATGTCTTATCTAGTGAAAGAGGTCACTTCTGTGCTTCCTGTGGGCTCACTCGTGGGTGGCAGAACCCAGGGTGCAATAACACAAGTATAAGCCTTTGTGGCCATCCTTGAAAGCCATCACTAAGAAGAAGACCTGCAATCTGTGCACATGCAAACACACACCAGTGTCAGTCTCCAACAGATTCTCTATACATTTTAATTTGTTCTGACAATGAAACTAACAGCATAACAGCACTGAAGCTCTCAGGTAAGGCAAGACATTATGGCCATTGGAGGAAGCACCAAGACAGGTGGCAGGAGGTGTGAAGATGGATTCTTGGGAAAGAGATGAGCTACACAGATGAGGTACAGGAAGGGATCAGATGTCAGGGTCCCAGCAATAAGAAAGGTAAGGATGGACTGCCCCAGCTTGAACCTGGAGCTTAAAAGAGAGAAACGCCTTTCCCTTCAATTATTAGGAAGAGGCCTGAAGGCAAAGGAGGCAGGTTGCTTTGAACTTGCCTTTCACAGACCTATAGGATCTGGGAACAAAGGAAGAGAATGGAATTCAGCTGGCAGGAGAGCAACTTGTAGGGAGAGGAGGTGACAGTTCCATGGGTTGATGAGTCAAACCTTAGGCTTGGACTTCAACCTCAGGGCCAGAGAAGCATCTCTTCCTCTGAGGAGGTCACCTCAGGTCTCTGGACAGGCCATGTCAGCTTTCTGAACCCACCTGATCCTGGGAGTTCCTTGTGTCTTAAAAGTCACAGAGCAGTGAAGACATCTTTCCCAGAATGTCCTTCCCATCAGCCAGCAACCAGCTCTGCTGGCATGTCCTTGCTACCCATTCTGCACCCAGAAGGTTGGGAATGGGCCAGCCCATTGCCTGGGCTGGAGAACGTTCCTGGTCTGCAGAGGCTCAGAACTCCCAATCGTCTACCTCCAGCTCTTCCAGGTTTGTCACCAGGCCAAAGATTCCACTGTGATCCTGAGAATGGCTGCCCTCAAAATTGGTGATGGGGGTGACAGGACGAAGTAATTCAGGCAAAGCTTCTGAGGCACGTCGCTTGATCTGGGGGAAGAGAGAGAATTGAGTGGTGGATCTTACTGCATAAACCATGGCCTGGTGACTGATGGGCTATTGGAGCTAAGAATAATAACAGGAAAGAGTACCATTTTGGGGGCTTCATTTCTCTAATTCAAAATCAGGAAGAGAAAACACCTAAAGACCGCACAGCTATAGAGCTAATGGAACTATAGGCAGCTAGAACCATAGGCAAGAAGAAACAAGGAGCCAAGGGAGACTGCTCTTGTACCTGTCTGAAGAATGAGTGGCTCAGAAGGGCGCTGGCACTTGGCCTGGAGAGAAAGGGGAAGAGATCCACATCACCCTGTGCCCACTTCCCACATCCTGCCAATTACATCTCTTCCTCAGGTGCTCTCTACTTCTTGCCTCAGCTCACTGATACTGGCTTCTTGGCCAACCCATGAGCTGATGATCCCTCTTGCTCTGGAGCCCCACTTTCCTCCTAGGAACCCAAGCCCTTACAGAGCCTTTGAGAGGCACATGTTCTCAAACCCTGGCTCAACTCTGGAGCTTCCTCTGCTCTTCCCACTCCCCAAAGCCCAGCCCCAAGCCAGCAAGATACCTTGCATCTGGGTTGCGCTGAAGGCACTGCTCCACAAAATGGTGGAAGTGTGGGGAGAAGGTTCGGTGGTAGGGGTGGGATGGCGAGTCACCATTGGAAGACCGGGGCATGCCGGTGGCCAGGCTCTCACCCAGGCCAGAGTTGGCTGCTGAATGTGAGGGGCTCATGGTCAGCTCCTCCACAGGAATGGTGCTGGTGTCCAACAGGCAGGGCACTGTGCCATTCAGCTTCTCCAGTAGCATCTGGGGAGGACAGAGTCGGCCTGAGCTGGAGGGGGCCCTCAAAGGCCTAAAAAAAAGCCTCTTTTCAAATACGATCTTCCCCATAAACATGATCTTTTGGGAGGAAAGATGGAAGTAGAATAAGGCTAACTTTTCAAAAAGAATGCTGGCCATTAGCTTGGCAGTTTCCCTCTAGCTAGGCCAATAGAGGGAAAAGGAGAGGAGAGGAGAGGTTATGAGAAGTACCCCTTCACTGTGCTGGAAGAAGGGTCCAGTTTCCTCTCCTCCTTTACAAGGCATCAAATTCCTTTACCCATTCAGCCCTTACCCTAGGGTGGAGGCAACAGTCCAGTCACCTTCCTTAAAGCCCAGCTCCAGGCTGCCATACTTGTGGGGGTCCAATGGGGTTCACAATGGAGTACCTGCAGCACCACATCCTGGATTGTCATAAAGGCAGGCTGCACAGAAGCAGTGTGCCCAGGGTCTTGCCAAGTGTGGGCAGCTATTCCAATCCCTTGAAACATACATGTAAAGCCAGCCCCACTTTGAATATTGCTATCTTCATGGGCATTTTCATGAACCTAGTGAGCTATCCAAGCCAAAAATCTAGAAATCTCTCTAGGGCTATACTAACATGGCAGCCACTAGTCATCTGTGACTCTTTATATTTAAATTAAATCAGGTTTAAAATTCAGTCCCTAGAGGGCCAGGGATGTAGCCCAGGGGCGCTGCACCTAACTGGCAAGCACAAGGTCCTGAGTGCCATACTGGACAGCACAAGTATAGACATTTCTATCACTGTAGAAAGATCTGGCCAGTGCTACTTCTAGATCTAAATCTCTTGCACCCAAAATAAATTTTGTTTTTTATTTCTTTGTGGTACTGGGGATCTAACCCAGGGCCTCTCACATGCTTGGCAAGCACTCTGTCAGAGATCTATTCCTAGCCACTTAAAAAGCCTTTTATGGGCCGGGGATTTAGCTCAGTGGTTCTGGCGCCTGCCTCGCAAGTGCAAGGTCCTGAGTTTGATCCCCGGTACCAAAAAAAAAGCCTTTTAATTCTTTCCTGAGCATTCTTCAGTTACTGAACTATATTTCTTAGCTTTTCTGATGCCTTACCTAGTCCATACCATCATAACTGGTCTACCAGATTTAATCTGCCTACTAGAGTGACCTGTGTAAAAACATGTATGTGTGTATATATATATATATTGCTATTCCTCCTGTGCCCTACAGCAATTCTCCACATGCTTTGTTTTGATTTAGAACAGGAGCCAAACGCCTTCAGGTGGCACACACAGCTCTTCTTGAGGTGCCCTTGCTTCCTTCTCCAGCCTCTGCACCCAGACACTCTGCTAAAGAACCTGCACCTCAGCCATTTACAATGCTGTGCCCCAGATCCTGTTCTTTCCTGACTCTGGGTCTAAAGTGACTGCTTCTGTTCCCACTCTTCACATGATTAAATGCTCTTTGCCTTTAAGACTTAACTCAAGTTCGGCCATTCTTTAGCTGCCCCTGTGCCCATGCCCTCCCAGTTCTAGACTATGCTCCAGGTACCTGGGACCCAGGTAATCCTTGCCCACATGACCCCCAAATCTACTTCCTGGATATAATGGGGCCTGGGCAAGTCTCCTCCCTGGATAGGTCCACTAAATGAAGATTGTGCCACTGGCTGGGCACTCCTAGGCCAGAGGGGTAGCCCAAGGGCAGGCAGGTCTGAATAGAAGGTGAACTTGCACAATGGAGTTTCCAAAGGTGTGGGCCAAAATATGATGGCATGTAACTCTGAGATATCTGAGAATTCTAAATTAGAAACCAATCTTCTTTATCAAAGCAGGAAGACAGAAGATATATTATAAATTTACAAAAATTGGTTAGCCTGATTTATAAGATTTAAATAGACATAAGCTATATGGGCTTCCATTTACACTATTGCCCTTGGGCTCTCTCCAGCCTGGGCTGGGCTCCATGACCACAGCATCTCAAAATTTTCACAGAGAAAGAAACAGAATTATATACTCATCCCCATTGGGGAAAGGGGTGGCTTTTCTGAAAGAAAAGGACTGTGTCTTTCATCTTTCATCTTAGAAACCCTGGTCAGTGTCCCTGAGCCTGACAGATAGCCACAAACACTTGGGAAAGGCAGACAAAGAGGGAAACACTGGGGTGCAGGCTCACCTTGGTGGCAGGCATATCCTTAAATGGGACGTGGCCATTGGCCAGTTCACAGGCTGTGATTCCGACACTGTAGATATCAGACTTGGCATCATAACCCTGAAGATTCTAAGCCAGGAAAAAAAAAAAAAGCCACAGATGATTCTACTTGTAGCCTGGTGTTTGTGTAAAAAAAAGAAGGGTGGAGCGGGTGGGCACGCATACTGGGCCTGCCTCGGCCGCGGCTGCTGTCGGAGGATGAGTCTGAGTGGCCACAGCAGGCCATGAGCCACTTCTCGGCCACAGCAGGCCATGAGCCACTTCTCAGTTGCCCAGAGGAGCAGGTCTCCGAACCGCTCGTCCCCTCTCCACCCCGCAGAGGGGCGAGGGGGAGCACAGCTGATGTCAGAAATACACTTTCAGGAAATGGCCTCTAAATCTTGGCTGTATTTCTTAACCTTCCTCTGTGGATCAGCAATAGGATTTTTTTTTATGTTCTCAGCTATTTAGTATTTTGTTGGGAGAACAAGGTGATGCCCAGCCTAATATTCTTCATAAGAATCCTTATGCAAGACATTCAGATGATAATGGACAGAATCATCTAGAAGGACAAATGAACTTCAATGCAGATTCTAGCCAACATGAAGATGAGAACACAGACATCACTGAAAATCTGTACCAGAAAGTTAAAATTCTTTGTTGGGTTATGACAGGCCCTCAAAATCTAGAGAAAAGGGCCAAACATGTCAAAGCTACATAGGCCCAGTGTTGTAATAAAGGGTTATTTATGAGTTCAGAAAAAATAAAAACTTCCCTACTGTGGGATTAAAAACCAAAGGCGGCAGAGATCAACTATACTGGAAAACAATTAAAGCTTTTCAGTATGTTCATGACCATTATTCAGAAGATACAGAATGGTTTATGAAAGCAGATGATGATACATGTCATACTTGACAATTTGAGATGGCTTCTTTCAAAATATAGCCCTGAAGAACCCATTCATTTATTTTGGAAGAAGATTTAAGCCCTATGTAAAGCAGGGTTACATGAGTGGAGGAGCAGGATATGTACTAAGCAGAGAAGCCTTGAAGAGATTTATTGCTGTGTTTAAAACAGAAAAATGTACACATAGTTCTTCCATTGAAGACCTAGCACTGGGAAAATGCATGGAAGTTATGAATGTAGAAGCTGGAGACTCCAGAGATATCACAGGAAAAGAAACTTTTCATCCCTTTGTACCAGAACACCACTTATCTACCCAGAACTTTTTGGTACCAGAATTATAACTATTATCCTCCTGTAGAGGGCCCTGGTTGCTGTTCTGATCTTGCAGTTTCTTTTCATTATGTTGATTCTACAACCATGTATGAATTAGAATACCTTGTTTATCATCTTTGTGCATATGGTTATTTGTATAGATATTAACCTGCCCTACCTGAGAATGTACTAAAGTAAGTCAGTCAAATCAACAAAAATGAAGATCCAAAGGTAAAATTAGGAAACCCCTGAAAGGAACACAAATGAGTCAAGCTAAAAAGTCTGACATTGCACTGAAGAAAGACTTCTGCATTTATGACACATTTATGACATTTATGAAATCACAGTGACGTATAGAAATCTTTCAAATGAATTGCTACAAACTAAAGCTTTAAATAAGCTGTTAAATGTTTTTTGATACAGTAATATAGAAATCTATATAAGAACTTGTGTTTTTAAAAGTGGTGGCAAGTAGAAGAACTAGAAAAGAGATTTTGACACCTGTTCTTGACCATGTGTATTATTGTCACTGAGAAACTAAAACAGTTACATTTGCTAAAACTGCAGTGTACATTAGTTACACACAATGCTAAACAGATCTGCCTTAAAATTTTAGAAGGAAATACTGTTGCTCAGTATTGTTTATAAATTTGCAGTATGATATAAATGAACCACTCCTCCGCACACAGTTGTCTAATGAAAAGTCTGCTGTGATTATTTATAATTAGCACTATTTCTTAAAGAAGGTAGAATAAGAATGGCACTTACCGTAAAGTGAATTAATAAAACTACATTTTAAAATTTAAAAAAAGAAAGAAAGAAAAAAGAAGAGTGGATCAAAAACTGAGAAAGAAAAGAATACCCGTCCCACAGCTGGCACCAGCTGCTGATTGGACCTTGCCTGTACTGCTGCAGATTAACAGCTATTTTACAAGGAGCAAATGTTTAGTTTGGTATGTAGTAAGTTGGAGGAAGTACTTGGGACCCACACTCTGCTCAGCATATGGATCTGGAGAGCACCAAGTAGTTCCAAAACACTCACTCTCCATAGGTGTGGGAAGGTTCCCTGAAGGGAGCTGAAATAATATTAAGTGTGATTTAGGACCCCAGCAAGTAGAAACTACAGCCATCTGCAGTAGGTAGGTAATGCTCATGTTGACTAGGCTCCCTGGCACACTTGGTCACCTGGGACCCCTCCCTCCAGAATCCTCTTAACTCCACTCAGAAGCACTCCTCCCTATCCCAGGAAATTCTTGCAGGCTTCTTTGGGAAATCACGAGTTGGTGGGACTGATGGGGGCTCCTCAGGATCAGTGCACAAACCTGCTGAAGGACTTCTGGGCTAAGCCAAGGCAGAACCTTGATACTGTATTTGGGAAAATCGTGGACCACACGCTGCCGCTGCCCATGACTGATCATGCTGAGGTTGCTGCGTAAACCAGACAGGTAGACCTTCCCATCCACAGAAATCAGAATGTGGCTTGATTTGACACTCCTGGGGGAGGCAGAAAAGGTGACATGGGCAGCAGCCCTTCACACTACAAATCTTCGGTCTTTACACACTATCTGGTTGCACAAACACACACACACACAAAAACACATTTTTAAAAAATTTCAACATATACAGAAAACAGAAAATAGCATGAGGCTATTCACATAAAATAACATTCAAAAATTTTCTTATGTTCTCTTTTATGTTCAAGACCCTCTCTTTCCCCTCTTTCCTACAAAGGCTTTTAATCTGCACTTGTTTGTAGAAATTCTTTTTAAAGTATACCATAGTTTTGTATGCATATGTTTTCAATTTACCTAATGGTTCTGCGTTATGGAACTTACTCTTCCTTTTTCACTCTATATGTTTTGGGGATACTTTTGGTTTTGTTTTTACTCCGTGCTACATTTGTAAGATTCATCTGTGTCATTATCTGTATCCTCTGATCTTTGGCCCCTACCCTTACCCCAGTACTGGGAACTTAACCCAGAGGACACTCTACTACTGAGCTACATCCCCAGCTCTATTTTTTTTTTTTTGGTACTGGGGATTGAACTCAGGACCTTGAGCTTGCGAGGCAGGCTCCAACTCTATTTTTTGAGCCAGGGTCTTGGTTAAGTTGCCCAGGCTGGGCTAGAACTTGTAATCCTCCTATCTTAGCCTCCGGAGTACATGAGATTATAGGTATGCACCACCATGTCCAGCTGATTTTTGCTTCTAATTACCATGAGTCCAGGGTTGGATCTAACACTTTTACTCACTTTTACTCATTCTTCAGGGAAGGACATTCATACTACCCATACTCAGTATGAATATGACCAATGAGCTCTGCACACAAGCCCCTGATGGGTCTGTATAAGGGTTTCTTTGGCATATGCACCTAGGGGCAGCACTGATGGGGCTAGTTCTGTGTCTCTGAAGGGCTGCACTGGGGCACTGCACTATCTGGACAACAGCTATACCCTTAGTGCACTAGGTCTCACCTGGCCTCCTAGTCACCATTAGTCTTTTTTTTTTTTAAAAAATGGTACTGGGGACTGAATCGAGAGCCTGCATACTGAGCTACATTCCCTAGGGCAGTAGTGGCAAAGCTATGGCATGCATACTGTTCATATCACGGAAAACTCTGCCTTAGGCTTTTTATTATTTTAATTTTTTTTTTTTTTTGAGACAGGGTCTTACTAAATTGCCCAGAGTGGGCTAGAACCTGTGATCCTCCTGTCTTAGTCTTCCAGAGTGCTGGGATTACAGGCATGTAACACCACACCTACCTGCTACCACTAGTCTTATGTGTACAAAGTAACATCTTGTTTTCAAGTGCTTTTCTCTGATTGCTAGGTTTGAGTGTCTCTACGACTACTAGTCTTTGGAGTTTCCTCTTATATATACTTCATATCTTTTGCCCACTTTATTACTTTGCTGTCCTTTTCTTGCTGTTTGCAGGATTTCCTTGTTACTAATCTGTGTGTTTTAGACAGAGCTAGCATCTTTCACTTTGTTACTTGTTTCTTCACTTTTTCATGGTGTCCTTTACTGAACAGAAACCTTTTATTTTTTTTTTTTTGGTACTGGGGATCAAACTTGGGACCTTGCGCTCATGAGGCAGGCGGCGGAACCACTGAGCTAAATCCCTGGGCCCCCGGCCCCTATTTTTTTGTTTGTTTGGGGTTTTTTTTGGTACTGGGGATTGAACTTGGGTCCTTGCGCTTGCAAGGCAGGCGGCAAACCACTGAGCTAAATCCCCAGCCCGTTTAATCAAATCCATCAATTTTTTGGTTTATGTTGTGTGCTTCTAAAATACTCAGAAGTTCTTCTAAAAACAAAAAACAAAAAAAAGAAGAAGTTCTTTTATGCCTCAGATCACAAAACTATTTCCTTTTGGTTAAGTCTACAGGTTTACATTTATATTTAGGCCTTTAATCCTCCTGGTGTTCTTTTTCTATGTGGAATCAGGAAGGGTTCCACTTTTATCTTCCCTAGTATGAGCTGGTTTTCCTGACACCACCTACTAAAGCAATCTGTCTTTACCCTGGCCACTCAGCATAGGACCAGCTCTGGGGCACACAAGAAAGTAGGCAGGGAACAGGAAACAACAATCCACCTCAGATGTTCCTCTCACACAATAATCAGGACCAAGCTACTCAATAAAGAGAGTCAGTGGCTTCAGCATTGATAGGCTGAATGACTGTCCTCCAAGTCAGTGGCCAGGACAGAATCCAGACCCTGATTATAAACCCTAGTTTCATTAATTTCAGTCAACCTTCAAATGTTTCCTTGAGGGCTCAGGGTCTCAGATACCTACTCTTTTTTTTTGGTACTGGGGATTGAACTCGGTTCCTTGTTCCTTGCTCCTGGGCGGTGGAACCACTGAGCTAAATCCCCAGCCCCCCTACTGTTATTAATAAAGGGTGAAGCCACTTAAGAAAGTAGCTGTGCATACCTGGGTGTGGTGGAGCTTGCCTATAATTCCAGGACTCAGGCTTAGGCCGGATTGTGAATTCAAAGCTACATAGTGGAGTTCAAAGTCAGCCTGGACTACACAGTGAGACCTTGTCTCACAAAGCCTAAATAAATAAATACCCCCATCCCAAAGAACATTACCTGTGGACATAACCCATGTGATGGATATAGTCCAGGGCCTTTAGAACCCCCTGCAGGATATAAGCAATTGCCAGTTCATTCATGCCATCCATGAAGTGGGTACCAATGAGATCCTTTGCAGAACCTGAAGAAAGAATTGTGAGAAGACAGCAAGGGGTACCAGAGAGAAAGAAAACATCACACAATTTGCCATAGAGTTCTAACAATTCTCGCTACCAGGAACACGTTCCTACTCACCATATGCCATGAATGATGTGACAACCCACAGCTCATTGTCTGCAATAAAGGTGGCTCGATATGGCACGATATTGGGATGGTTAAAGAGTTTAGAGACATGAAGCTCCCCCTGAAAGTAATAGTAAAGCAAGCTGAAGTCAGAATCAAGGGGGCACTGAAGAATGCTGGCTGACATCAATGTGACAGCATGATTAATACAAGACTTTGTTCTTTCTGGGTGCTCTTCTCTGAGGCCTGGGAGAAGCCTAACGAGTGCTTCCAACATAGAAACTAGGCCCTGCTGTCCCCCAGCCTGCTTTGCCAGGTTAGACCATAAAGTGAGCATCAATTCAGGAAAACATAGCAAATGCAGAAGGGACTGGGCTGCAAGCAAATGTACTGAATATACATTCATCAGGGTCCTAAAACCAAGCCACATCAGCTGTAGAAGAGTCTAGCCCCTGTGGTCTCACTCAGTGCAACAAGATGGTAACTAGTTGCTTCCTGAATAGGAAGGGATCTCAGGTAAACAGGATGCTAACAGCTAGAAGTTGGCCCCCGGTGGCAGGGCATGCAGCCCTGCATCTAGAACAATATTGCCTGGCTCTGACTCGTGCCTCTGCCACTTACTACTGTGTGACTGAGGCTAAGTCACTTAGCCTCTCTGAATAATAAGTGAATAATTTTTTTTTTGGTACCGAGGATCGAACTCAGGACCTTGCGCTTGTGTGGCAGGCGGCAGAACCGCTAAGCTAAATCCCCAGCCCAATAAGTGAATAATTGAGCCAGAAAGGAGTATGTGAAAAAGGGAAATATAAATTGGGTTGAGCAGCATTACAGCCCAGTCCTCAGCGCTAAATGCCTAAAGTTCTCCACTGAAAGCTTCCACGACTTCTGAACACTTGGCCTACTTCTGTTTCTCAATAGGATCTTTCAGAAGACTGAGGTAAGAGATGCATTGCAATTACTATGGCACCAGGAGCCCACTTCCAGTGTGATATTCATATTTTAGTACCTGCAAGAATGTTACCATCTCATTGGAACAAGCTTCTAGGTTAATCCTGCGTACTGTCACATACTCTCCCGTTGGTTTGTACCTTGCTAGATTAACTGTCATCAGGTCTTCAAATCCTTTGCCTAAGAGAAAAGAATGATGCTGTTTATGACAATAGCCAGGGTTTCTATCTTCTTCAAAGAAAAAGGACTTGATTTCAACAGAAAAGTTAAATTTCTTGGCTTTTTCCTCTTAGTTGTTTCTCAGCCAACCTTTCTACCTGACTATAGCCCAGGACATAAGATGTGTATGGCCATGAAGAAAAAAACTGCAAAAGACCTTCTCTCCTGGAAACTTGATTTCTTCTAATACCTAGTAGCTGAAACCCAAAGAAGACTCACAGGAGCCAGTTTTTTTTGTTTTGTTTTGTTTTGAGATAGGGTCTCATTTTGTGGTTCAGGTTGACCTTGAAATCACTAGGTATCCTAGGCTGGCCTTGAACTCAAGGCAATCCTCCTGCCTCAGCCTCCGGAGTGGTGGGATTACAGGCGTTCATCACCACGCCTGGCTCAGAACCATGAATCCTATTAGCTAGCTGAGAAAGCTGCAGCAGTCCCGTGGAGCAGAAAAGCAATGACAATTCTTGAACATTACCTATAACACTGAGTAGCTCATAACACCCTCCCTCTGGCAGGAAGCAACTCATGATCTCTTGTTTAGAGAAGGACGCTATCGACTCTGAGCTCGCCTCATTGGTCTAAAGAAAAAGAAAAATAGGTTAATAGAGAAAATGGGGCAAAATGGGAGTGGAGGTGGATGTGATAATTTAGACCCATGAGGATACTGATATCTAAATAAACATACAAATCCTGACTCCAGCAAAGAAACAGTGCCAGTATTATTTAAGGAGAAATAAAGCATCAGATACTCAGTGATGATGTCAGCAATGATGTCAGAGGAAGGGAGGCAAACAGAGTAGAGCAATAAAAACCTGTTCATCAGTTGTTAATCTGCTTGTCCTTATGAACAACTAACTCATTTGTTTAAATCTGTGAAATTCTTACTTGGGAAAAGGTTATCTAGAGAAAGATATGTTTAGAAAAGAAAAAGAAGACAGAGAGGTGAAGAGTTCTCTTTAATTTCCTGATGCATTAGTATCCTATTTTTAAGGTCCTGACAGCAAGATCCTAAAAGGTCAAATGCTTACTCTTGCTCTAGGAACAATGTACCCAGTAGTTGGGCATGGGGGCACACAGCTGTAAGCTCAGCAACCTGGGAGGCTGAGGCAGAAGAATTGCAAATTCAAGCCCAGTCTGAGCCACTCTGTGACTTAATGAGATCCTATCTCAAAATAAAAAAAGAACTAGGGATGCAGTTCAGTGTGCAAAGGCACTGGGTTCATTCCCAGTAACAGAAAATAAAATAAAATTTTTAAATAGGGCTGGGGAAGTAGTTCAGTGCAAAGGGCCTAGGTTCAATCCTCAATCCTCTAAAAGAAAAAGAGAAAAAGAAATGGGAAGGAAGGAAAAAAAAATGTGGCCAAAAGAAGACTAATTTTTAGCAAACAGAGTCCAGGCTAGCCATTCCCTCACATTTACAAGTGAGTGGTGCACTTAGCTGCAGGCCAGGACAGAGCCTTCAGGTCTCAGCCACCGAACAGCCCATAAATATCATGCTCAAACTGAGTATGGTGGTGCATGCATCTAATCTAGTACTCTGGGAGGCTGAAGCAGGAGGATCAAACCCAGCCTTGGCAATTTAGTGACAATGAGACCCTGTCACAAAACAAAACAATACAAGGTCATGCTCAATGTGTTATTTGAACATAATATACTTTTCAGAGCATTTCCACAGTGAGGCTGATCTTCCCCATAGCTCAGTTAGGTAGCTGGGACAGATATCTATTTTTTTTTTCTATTTTTCAATAATAAAAATGAAGGCCAAGGAGATTAAATGACTTGCCAAAAGTCAAAATGACACAAGACCCAGGCCCACACAAGGGAAATTAATGTACTCGTCCATTGACATTTGGAGCACATCTGGTTTCAAAATATTTGATGCTGCATACCTGGGCATGGTGGTGCATGCTTATAATCCCAGCACTCCAAAGGCTGAGGCAGGAGGATGGCCTGGAGTTTGAAGCCAGCCTGGGGTACATAGTGAGTTCAAAGCCAGTCTGAACTATATAATGACACCTTGTTTAAAAGCAAAACAAACAAAACATAACCTCCTCAAAACTCCAAATATATACACATATTTGACACTGACTATGAGGAAAGAACCCAAATAGGGCTTTGCCTCCTTACCACTTACTTAACTGACACTAAGAAGTTAGTCAAGCAAAATCCAACCCAATCACCAAAGTCCATTTCTAATTTAATCTACTTTTTCTCTAAGATTCAACCATACTGTTGTATCTGGCTGTACTTCATACACTTTCACTATTAAATAATATTCTTCCCTTGGGCCAGGGATGTACCTCAGTGGGGCACTGCAACTTCCTAGTAAGCGCAAGGTTCTGAGTTTGATCCCTGGTACTGGAAAAAAAAATTCTTCTCATGAACATACCTCAGTTTATCCATTCTAACACTGATGAGTTTTTTGAGTTGTTTTCCAATTCTGCTATGATGAACTGTGCTACTATAAACATGTCTGAATATGTCACCTGACTAAAGCTTATAATAGGAGTGAATGGAATTGGTAGGTCAGAGTACATGAACAATCAAATCTGTGAGACCATGCAAATTGTTTTCCAAAACAGCTATACCAAAATACATGTGTGTTCTTTTTATTTATTTATTTATATATTTATTTATTTATTTATTTATTTATTTTGGTACCGGGGATCAAACTCGGGTCCTTGCGCTTGTGCAACAGGGGGCGAAACCACTGAGCTAAATCTCTAGCCTACGTGTGTTCTTGTTAATCCATCTTTCTCCCAATAGTTGGTACTGTCAGATTTTTTTTTTTTTTTTTTTGGGCAATCTCATTGTGGGTCTGATTTATAGATCCTAGTGAAGGTAAACATCTTTTCACGTATTTATTGGCCATGTGGGTTTTCTTCAAGGTGGAATGTCTCTTCCTATCTGTTATGGTTTGGGTCTAGATGTCCCCCCAAAGCCTCATATGGTCATAGGAGGGTAAATCTAGAGTGTGTGATGCTAGGATTAAGGGGATAAGATTATAAAACCACTACACGTGAGTGAGTGGTTTGGTACTAAACCCAGTAGTCTGAATAAGATAAAAGGAGCAGAAAGACACTGTTAAAGTCCCTTGTTGCTTTTGCTGTGTTCCACTGCCATGAACTGTTGCCCCTCTGCCACCCTGACTTGAAGCCTGCTGATTATGGACTGAAACTTACACAAACTGTAAGCCAAATAAACCTTTCCCCCCTTTAACTTTGGTGTCAGGTATTTTGTCTCAGCAATGAGAGAAAAGTAACTAACATTATTTTTTATCTATTTTGCTACTGAGTTGTTTTCAACGTGGAGGATTTTCCTAAAGAAGGCTCCACAGAACACTTAACTTGGCACATAGTACAAGAGAAAAGTTTCCACATCCAATTAAGCTAGGAGATCCACTTGCTTTCTGTCATGGAGAATCACAAGGCATACTCCCACATCAAAGCATAGGGAAGTTCTGTAGTAAAGAAACTTGTTCAGGGGCCGGGGATTTAGCTCAATGGTTCCACTGTCTGCCTCACAAGTGCAAGGACCCGAGTTCGATCCCTGGTACCAAAAAAAAAAAATCAAATACTAGAAACTTGTTCAGCTTTGTTTAATCTAGTATTTCTCAATGATACCTGCCCAGGAAACTTTTGTGCCTAACATCTGTTAAATTTTAGGAAAGATAATTTGGAAAAGGCTAGTTTAAGTAAAATATATGGCATAATGCTTAGTGGCCAGAAGCAGAATGTGAATTTGGGTCTATCACTGCCTGAAACCCCAGGCAAGTTACTCTAATCCAGTGGTGTCAACCTATGCCACTAGTGCCACAGTGGGCCATTTATATCATTGAAAGCTCTAAAAGGTTCACCATCATTGCTTTAATCTCTTGGGAGTCTCAGCAGTGGTCTAATTCCCACTTCACAGGCTTGTTATGACTATTAGATTATATAAAATATGTAAAGAGTTTAGTACTACCTGGTGTGTAACAGGTAGTCGATATAGGTGAATTCTATTTTCCTCTCTATTACTATCTACTTTTTAGTGACTTTCCACTCAACCAAAATGGCACAAAGTGAAGGAAATAGAAGGAAATAGGTGGAGCCAGGCATGGTGGCACATCCCTGTAATCCCAGCACTTAGGAGTCATAGGCAGGAGGTTCACCACAAGTTCGTAACATGGGCTACTTAGCAAGACCCTGTCTCAACAAACAAACACAAAAAACCCAAATGGAGCTTCATTTATTTTAGTTTTTGTATTTATCTCTGAAAATAAACTCTATGATCATTTGTCACAGTAGCTCCTTGAAATTGTCTTGTTTTTAGAACAATCTTAAGATACCAGTTACTACACGCTAGGTACCTCACATAGGTGAGAGAGTACACAGCAAGAGACAAATGGAGTAGCAATTTGTGCAAAAAGCTCTGGAATGGTGAATCTCTATTTAGAATTTATGATGCTATTTTAGTCTTCAAGCATCCTATCTTCTCAACCTCTAAAACAACTGCACATACTCTTGCTCTCAATAAAATCAACGTCACCAGTTAACACAAAGCTCAGTGGGCTGCTTTCAGACCCAAACTCCCTACTGTGGCCTAGGAATGTCCACATGATTTGACTTCTACCTCTCTCATCTCTTCCCCTTACTCTTTGCCCCCAACCAGCTACACTTTTCTCAAACAAGCATGGTCTAGGACCAGGGATTTAGCTCAGTGGTGTTGCTACCTGCCTCACAAGTGCAAGGTCCCAAGTTTGATCCCCAGTACCAAAACCAAAAAACAAGCATGGTCTAGCTTTAGAAAACCTGTACTAGTCACCCTTTGTTTGAAACATTCCTCCTGTACTCCACCTTTGCCCTTCTCCATCTCTATCCTACTCTTCACCTGCCTTCCATTTTCTTATCACTTCCTTCTCCTTACTACTAAGATCCGAACTTAAATATCAACTCTTCAGAGATTTTGTCCAGCAAAACAGGCTCCTAGTCACTATGTTTTAGCAGCTTGATGTATTTTCTTCACATTAGTTGTTACTCTAGTTTATCTATTTCCTCTCTTCCACTAGAATGCAAGCTCCACAAGAAAGAGACTTTGTCTTGTTCACTGATGTATTTACTATCCAGTGCCTAAAATAATAATCACATTTTTTTTTTTTGGTACTGGGGATGGAACTCTGGACCTTGGCTTGTGAGGCAGGCGGCAGCACCACTGAGCTAAATCCCTGGCCCCAAAAAGCAAGTATGTTTTATTTATTTATTTATTTATTTATTTATTTATTTATGTACCGAGCATCAAACTCAGGTCCTTGCACTTGCGCAGCAGGTGGCGAAACCACTGAGCTAAATCTCTGGCCCGCAAATACTTTTTAAAAGATCTCTCTTCTTTGATCCCAAGTTCCTTAAACTTTCCCTAATTTGAAAAAGAGACTATGTAGGACAATTGGGTCTTGAGATCAAAATATTTATAATATATACTTTAGATACTCTTTTACAACCTATGTCCTTCATCCTTGCCAGGAGTACATATGAGACATACTGTCTTCCAGGCTTTATGCTAAGGTATGATCTTGTTGATCCTAGATAGAGAATGGTTCATTAAACTACTGATGTTCTTAGTAACATGACAAATATATCTACTACTAATAGAAAAAACTAATCAAGAGTGTTAAATTTAGAAAATAAAATCCTTTAGGTAATTGGGAATATGATTTCATGGGCAATCTGGAACTGCATGAAATGACTGTTGTGGCTCCTCCTCCACCATTCTGTCCCCAACTCAGTGGAAATTATGCTAAAATGGAGGCTTTCTGCTTTGTGGCTATTCCACAAGTCTGAAGTCAGGGAGAACCTTTACTTAGGAAAGCAAATGAACAAACCAGGAAACAAAGGCAATGTTTTGAAGGGAGGAGGATTGGTCTGATACTGACATAAGAATGGGAGGTTGGTCCATTATACTGTTTCAGATTCACAAAAGGTCTAAATTCAGATGAAAAGGATGAAATATTTAGCCTATCCTGTTTAAACATAGCATGGTATAGTTTTGTTAGCATAATGTACAATGTCTAAATGTTCAAGGAAAGAAACTAATTCTATCACAGTTTTTCTTAGCTTTCTATACCATAAAAAGCATTTTATTTGTGTTAAAGCATTTGAAAAATACACAAGCTATTGATACCCAGAAATTATCATAAATGATAATGTTGTTTAAAGAACTGAAAACAAAATTTACGCCAGCACCACAAAAAGAAAACAAAAAATGCAATGAAGCATACAAAGATAACATTTAGAAAATGTCACCAAATAAACACATCCAACTTTCCACAGGTTTCACACAGGATAGCTTTTGGCAGAATGCTGACAAGTGTGAATATATACAATTACATATAATTGGTATTGTATTCTGAAAAAAAATCTAACTGATCCTACAGGTAACCTTTTTAGTCTCCTGAGTACAAAATATTTGGATCTTATAGAGAGGAGCTTCTGACTAGCAGACTACATAAGCACAGCCAAAGCTTTACTCAAAAAGAAATTCCTAGTCAACATCATCATCCTTCAGTCAACCCTGGAGTTGCCTGCAGAAGGTGCAAATGCTTATAAGCCCAAGAAAGAAGTCTACTTAGAAAAGAATTCCTATCCTCTTGCTCTGTAAGACACTGATTAACATTTTCCAAAATAACTTGGTACCGTGTGCACTTCTGGTGCTATTTACTTAGGTAAAATAAACCAGAAGAGGAAGCAGAGCAAGTCTTGCAGCCTTTGCCAATGGAAAAAGTAAATTTTCTGTTTTGTACTTTTAAATTTTGGTTTTGTTTTTAAGATAGGAGACTAAAGTTCTGCCTTATGATCTAGATAGAGATCTGTATTTTCTCTGTGGACTGAAATCTATGATTCTGAAAACAATGACAGGATTGGTAAATTAGAACCACCAGCCACTAAAAGATAACCACATTTCATGGGACTGTGCCTGCCTTGTAAGCGCAAGGTCCTGAGTTTGATCTCCAGTACCAAAAAAAAAAGACAACCACATTTCAGCCAGGTGTGGTGATGCACGCATGTAATCCCAGGACTTGGGAGGCTGAGGCAGTTGGATTGCTTCAAGTTCAAGGCCAGCCTGAACTACATAGTGAGAACCTGTCTCAAAAAAAAAAAAAAAAAAGATAATCACATTTCAGATTGGTGAAACTTACTGGAGGGGGGGCAGGTGAGGGGATGGTGTGGGTATGTATTTAGGAAGAGGAGGGGAGATCTTCATCCTCAGAAGAAACAAAAAAGTGCCTGAGATATTTTCACTCTAAACTACACATCAAAGCCTTTCCAGGGAGAAACCTGAGTCTCTACAAGTGAAAAAATTACACTACAAATAAAGCTTAATGACAGAAAAGCCAACAAACACACATATACTTGCACAAGAAGTCATCTCCATGCAACAGCCATATTGCTAGAGCCTAGAAAGTCACTTACTTTTCTCCGAGTGTCACCCGGAGGCTGCTCTGGAGTAGAGAAATTGATGGTTGGCATTGTGTTGTTTAGCAGAAGACACACCCACATTCAGAACAGCAATTATTGCACTTTGGAATATATTTATTAATAGAAACCACTTGAGTCATTACAGAAAAAAGTGGCTGCACTGCTACATATAAACACACGTGCACAGTTCCACAGAGAAAATGCTGCAGGTAGATAGGGTTTTAAACACAAAGCTATGCTTTTCAAAACTTGGCAAGGCTACTACTCTAAGGGTATTCTTTACTGAGGATGACTCAACCGCTACAGTCCTAGTCATACATTTACTTGTCATCAACACAAAATGTTACTTTGAATAGGCTGGCTTCAGAGCCATAGTTTATAAAATTTCATTTTCTTTCTTTTTTCTTTTCTTTTTTTTTTGCATTGCTGGGGATCAAACCCAGAGCCTACTCCCAGCCCCTCAAATTCATTTTAAAGTCACAGGAGATGGCTGGCTATTTCCCAGGGAGTATAAGGACTAGAAAATGGTGTTGTTATTTTTTGTTTTCCTTTCTGGCAAAAAATGTTTTAATACAGTGACACATATATGAAGGATCATTACCCAATCTGATTTTCCAAAATGAGGTACACTCTATTCTGAACACAAAGTAAGGGCTTTATGGCATTCTGCTACTCATAATGAAAGTGAACAAATTATAGTGTAACTGAAATAATTTTCTGTCCTTGAATCAGACAAATTATTTATGTTCTTTTGGCTTTTCCCATTTTGTAAAAGTGATAAAAACCATTAAGGTAGGGGCTGGAGTGTAGTTCAGTGGCAGAACATTTGCCTAGCATATGTGAAGTCCTGGGTTTGATCCCCAGAACCACAAAAATGAATAAGTAAAGAGAAGCTGGGCTTGGTGGTACATGCCTATAATCTTAGCAGCCCTGGGATCCTAAGGCAAGAGGACTCCAAGTTTAGGCCCAGCTTAGACACTCAGTGAGACCCTGTCTCAAAAATAAATAATGAGAAAAAAGGGCTGAAAATGTAGCTCAGATGAAGGCCCTAGCTTCAAGTTCCCAGTGCTATAAAATAAAGAAAAAAGAAAAGAAAAGAAAAGAAAAAGAAAAAAGAAAAGAAAAGAAAAGAAAAATCTTAAACTACACAAAATCAGACAAGTAAGTTTAGTCAGTAAGGAAAATGGATTCTTATAAGACATAACGACTAACTATACTGCTAGAGGAGATTGGCTGCAAAGTAAATTAGCCTCAATTTATCAAAGTAGGAATTTCCTTCTCCTTGGACATTAGTTTTCTGGCACATAAATAGCAGAAGCAGCTGCTTAAAGCTATCAAAAGTAAGCCAGAAGAATGGATCGCAAGAAAATCTAACTCAATTTTCTAGAGTAGAAGGCAAATTCCAAGTTGTATAAACTTAGTAATACAAATTTCATAAAGCAACTAAATAGCACAACTATGTATATATCTTCATCCTGTTCAGATCAGACACTAGGGCAGTGTTGACGAATCTATGGCACAGATGTCACAGTTGGCTGTTATTATCACTGAAAGCTCTAAAAGCCATCACTGCACTATGACATTGTCAAAAGTCAACCAGGAAGGGCCGGGGATTTAGCTCAGTGGTTTCGGGGCCTGCCGTGTAAGCGCAAGGTCCTGAGTTCGATCCCTGGTACCAAAAAAAAGAAAACAAAAGTCAACCAGGACAAGCTGGGCATTGTGGTGCATGCCTGTAATCCTAGCACATGGGAAACTGAGGCAAGTAGCTGGAAAACTGCCTAGTTCAAGGCCAGCCTGAACTACACAGTAAGATACTGTCTCAAAAAAACAAAACAAAAAAAGCCCAAAAAGATAGCCAGAGATCCTACACTTAAGTCATCAAATCTTAAACCCTTTCATTCAAGTCACATACACTGAGCTGGGCACAACAGTCCAGGCCTGTAATCCTCACAGGAGGTGATGGGGTAAGTGGGTGGGTGAGATAGAAGCATCACAAGTTTGAGCCTGGACTGAGCAATTCAGCAACTTAGTGAGACCCAGTCTCAAATAAAAAATTTTAAAAGGCTGGGGATGTAGCTCAGTGTGCAGGCTCTGGGTTTAAGCCCAGTACCACCAAAATAAATAAATACATAAATTTCAGGTGGATAAATATTTAGAAAAAACATATATGCCTTTAAATAAATACTGTACTGACTTTCTAACAATCAGGATATATCAAAGACAACTGCCAGGTGAGTCCTCAAATATCTGGGAAACAATGGATTCAAAAAGGAGCCAAATAAATCTAACAACTATAGTTTTACGCTTGCTCTCAGAATTGCTAATTTTTATAAACTAACTTAGTCAACAAAAGAATAGTAATATGTATCCTGAATTGGTGGCTAAGTGCCATAATGTACTTACCTCCAAATAGTTCCAAATCTCTTAAGCCCTCAACAATGAACTTTTCCGAGACCCACCGCTAAAGGGGAAAACCCCAAAGAGAATTAGTATTTCTTCCAAAACACAATGAATTAACTATCAGCCTCAGACAAATAAAACCATAACTACAAAAGCAGAATTACGCAGTATAGACAGAATACATTTCTATGGAAAAGTTTTGAAAAAACTGTTGAAGCCAACCACAAACAATAGATTAATTCCTTTCTCTATTCCTCTTTACCCCTAATCTTAGGTAGAAGGATGACTAAACCCTAACTTTGATAAAGGGAAAATAAACAGTATTGGCCCTAATAATGAAGAATGCTTTTGTCTTTCCCATATATGAAACTACCATTAGCTCCATCTTACTCATTCTATAGCTATTATAGATGCTTTGGATCATTAATGCCAATCTGAAGTATTACTGGAATTCCAAATTCCAGTAATTCCGAAGAAAACAGCAATGAAACAGTTTTTCATATTCCTCAATTAGTTTATAAAAGGAAACACAACAAGCTGCATATTCTTTTATCCCCTGGGGCCTAGAGTTTCTACAGACATCACCACTTACATTTCCTACCAAGTTTACAAGGACCAAACTACAAGAATCAATCTACAGTTCACCTTACTGACCTATTTCAAAGGAGTATTAGATTTCTATCATACTGATCAGGGTCTAGTTTCATCTGAATCAGGCGAGGTTAAAATAGAAAAGTAATAGAATCAAGACTATATTTCACTTAAGGGTTGGTACTAAAGGTTGGCATGCAACTTTCTTTCCACTGAATTCAGGCTAAGGAGAGATTCACTTTTCCCTCTTAATTAACACTGACTTTACAATGTAAATATTCTTATACACATAAACATAATAAAGATTAACATTCTGAAGTAAGTTACATAACACAGATTGCGAACTGGAGCTATACAATCATTCTATCTTCTCTATACCAATTTTCTTCCAGTCTAATAATTTTCTTCCAAATAAAAAAACAATATAATATATATGGGGCTAGGCATTTGGCCCAGTGGTAGTGTGTGTACCTAGCATGTGCAAGACCTGGGTTCAATCCCCAACACTAAAACAAACAAAAGCTAAAATATTTATATATACTATACCACAAAATTTGTGTTTTAATATTTAAAGACAGTGATAAACTCATGTATCATAATACTTACACAGTTAAAATTTTAAAATATTACTACCTTTAGAAATTAAGTACTTGAAATAAACAAAATAAAATACTCTTTTATGAAACCATAGGGTGCTTATAAAGAAGCTACATCCAGTATTTGTTCTTGAGAGCATTTCAGCTAATAAAGCTTTATGGTATAACAAATTTTTCATGTTCAATTTCAAAATGTTCAGTTAATGGTAATAACTATCATTAGAAAAAACTGATGCAATAACTTCAATTTAATACTGATTTTAAAAACCAACCCATCAAGGGCCGGGGATTTAGCTCAGTGATTCCGGCGCCTGCCTCATAAAAGCAAGGTCCTAAATTCAATCCCCAGTACCAAAAACAAAAAACTCCCAAAAAAACAATGAAAAATTTGGGCCGGGGATTTAGCTCAGTGGTTCTGCCGCCTGCCTCAAAAGCGCAAGGTCCCGAGTTTGATCCCCAGTACCAAAAAAAATAAAAATAAAATAAATAAATAAAAACAAATCCATCAAAAGGTGAGGAGATGGGATCATTAGCAGGTGTGTATCTATATTGAAAAGGGCCATCCACTCATTGAATGTGACTGATATTTAGTCATAAAATAAGTCACCTTCTTGTTTCTACTCCATCAGATAAGCTAGTAGTGCTGTATATTCTGTGTGTCTTGGTCAGCTTCTGCCTGAAAGCTCTTTTTTCCAGAGTGGAGGTTGTAATACCTGCCTTACTTTCTATATCCCTCACTTTTGTATAATTCTGTTTTCACATAAAAAAACCCACCTATAATATCTGTCAAAACACTTTATTTTCAGAAAAGAAAAATAGTAAAGCCAGAAGAATGAAAACACTCACCCTAATTCGCTCTGGTTTACTTACAAGAAAAGACATGAGTTCCTAATGTGTAGACCTTCTTCAACCTCAAAAATTTAAACCTAAAGGAAAATAGAAACAGGTTGAGTTAGTCAAATCTTTTCTTGTTATTTATTTATTTATTTATTTAGTATTTTTTTATTTTTGGTACCAGGGATCGAACTCTGGACCTTACGCTTTCGAGGCAGGTGGTGGAACCACTGAGCTACATCCCTGGCCCTTCTCTTGTTATTTTAAACAGAAATGTGCCACCACGCTTGACTTGAAACCCTGTGATTTCTGTAAGAAAAAATTTGTTATTATATGGTACTCTTTAATGTTTAAATGTCTCTTGATCCAATACCCTCTTAACCTCTTCTCAGAAGTAACTACCTTCTTTTAGGGAATTATTCTGCTTTTTATCATCATTTTTTTTTTTTTTTTGGGTACCAGGATCGAACTTGGGATCTTGCGCTTGTGAGGCAGGGAACACGACCACTGAGCCAAATCTCCAGCCCTATCATCATTCATTTTTTTTTTTTGTATTAAATTCTTTTATTGGTACATTGTAGGTATACAACACAATTACATTTCTCATTGAGAATTGTACCTTTATATAATGCATCTTGGTTCTTATTTTTTCCCCATTCCTAGCCCTCCCTTCACACCCTCCACCCTTCCCTATTTACAATGACTTTATTTCCATTTTTTCCATTTCTCATCATTTTTTTCCTTTCCCCTGCCCCTCCCACTACCCCTACCCCTTTGGACCTTTTCTTCCTATTTTACATTATCGATTATTCATTGTAATCATTGGTACATTTTAGGTATACAATATAATGACATTCATCATTGGAAATTTGCACCTTTACATAGTTTCTTTTGGTTCTTATTTTACACCCTTGCCCAGCCCTCCCTTCAACCCCTCCAGTCCTCCCTATTTACAAAGATTTTGTTCCTATTTTTCCATTTTCTCATATTAATCCCATTCCCTTCTATCCTTCATCATTCTTAAATAATGTTTGTATGGCTATGACTTACCAATCTTAGACATTTATCTACTAACTTCCTACCGTGTTAAATAAACACTAAGCTTGCCTATGTTACCTTCTTCCATCCTACTTCCTGGCCTCATTCTCCCAAACATTATTCTGACATAATTTTTGGTTACATTCATTGTCCATATTTACAACATTATGACTATGCAAACACAGTTCATGACTGAGACAAGTAGCAGAGAGGACCAGTACCTCCCAACCCCCATATTGCTGAGGGCCTAACCCAGGGCCTCACACAGGCTAAACATGTTTTCTACCATTGAGCTACACCCTCGGACCCATGTCTCCTTTCCTGTGTATCCCTCCCTAGCCCTCCTAAGGTTAATAACTGCCTCGCTTGTTCACTTGCTTGGTTTCTTTTGTAGCTATTGTTGATATAAAATAACAACTCTGCTTTAAAGGAATTAAGAAAATAGCTTATTCTGAGCCAAAGATGAGTGACTATGGCCAGGAATATGGTTTCAAGTTACCTTAAATCAGTGATGGTGAACCTTTTAGAGACCGAGTGGCAAACTGCAACCCAAAACCCACTTATTTATCCCAAAGTCCCAACACTACAATTAAACCTGAATCCTCGGCTGCTGGGGTGATGCTGGGGTGCCTTGGCTCGCATGCCAACAGAGAGGGCCGCTGAGGCACACATGCCATAGGTTCGCCACCACTGCCCTAAATGTTCTGAAGTGAAAGCAGTTACATGAATTTTTATAGCTAAGGAACAAAGTCCTAAGTTAATACACTCAACAAATACAAAGGTATTAGATGAGATTGGGCGCGTTCAGGGTGGTATGGTCACATACGTGTTAGATAGGTGGGCTACAGCAAAGTGAGGAAATCTTTTCTATGGGTATCAATAGGTTTCAGACATTACAGCATTTTTAGCTTTAGAGCTAGTAGAGGCTGGTTATGTGCTAAGCCTAACAATACATTCTGATAAGTTTTCCAAATAAGAGTGTTACAGCTGGGCATGGTGGTGCGTGCCAGTACTCCCAGAACTCGGGAGGTGGAGGCAGGAGGATCACCATGAGTTCAAGGCCAGCCGAGGCTACATAGTGAATTTGAGGCCAGCCTGAACTACATACATAGCAAGACCCTGTCCCAAAAAGCCAAGAAGCCAAAAAAAAAAAAAAAAAAAAAAAAAAAAAAAAAAAAAAAAAAAAAAAAAAAACAGAACAGAACAGAAAAGAAAAGAAAAAAACAACATTAGGTCACATACAAAGGTTAAAAGTAAATAGCAAGGCTGGGGATGCTGGGGATGTAGCTATCTCAGGAGCAGAGCCTCTGCCTAGAATGTGAAGGCCTTGGGTTAGGTTCCAGGCACAAACAAACAAATGAATGCAAGTTATTTTTTCAGTTGGGCATGGTGGTGCATACCTGTAATCCTAGCACTCAGAATGCTAAGGCAGGAGGATTACCAAGTTCAAGGCCAGCCTGGGTTACACAGTGAGTTCAAGAAGACCCTAAAAAGGAAGGGGCATTAGGGAGGGGGGAAGAGGAAAGGGAGGAAGGAAAAAGAAAAAAAAGAGAAAAGGATAAAATGGAAACAAAGCTTTTGTAAATAGGAGGGGAAGAGGGGTTGAAGGGAGGGGAAGGGAATGAGGAAAAAAGAAAAATCAAGATATATCATGTTCAGGTAAATCTCCCTATGATGAATGTGATCATTATGTATATCTAAACTGTACCAATAAACTTAATTTTAAAAAAAAGAAGACCCTGTCTCAAATAACAACAACGAGAGTAACAATGATGACAAGGAAGGCTATTTTTCTAAAAGACCTAAGATGGCCCAAAACAATTTTGGTTCTACACATACATTTCACCTCTCCACAGTCATGAGTTCTACTTAGCCTCAGTCTGCAGAATCCTTAATATAGATGTGGCTTCTGGAGAACTTCAGTTTCATGTGTATTAACTTTTTCCAAATACTCTTACATCTTTGCTACTTGACTTATTGATATGTTTTTCCATTATCTTCAACTCACCAATTTTTTTTTCAACTCACCAATTCTAATTTTCCCCTGAGACGGTCTTCTAGGGGCCCTGTGTTCTCCTGCTGCAATCTGGACTAGTGGGCCTCTAAGGCAGAGCTGCATTTTGGTCTGCCTTTTTAGTGTGAAATAGTGTGGAGATTTGTTTTTCAATTCTAGGAAATATTTTTGTATTATTTCTTTGATCTTGTCTTTGCCATTTTCTCTATTCTCATTTTACAGAATTCCTGATAAAGGTATACTTTTAGATTTATACCATTAGTTTTATACTTTTTTCACTTCCATTTACATTCCAATAATTTCTTCAAATTTTCCAATCCTTTTACTAAGTATTATGTTTTAGTTACATACATCCAAAACTTTTGCCATTTCTTTAATGTGTATTTTTTCCCATGACTTCATCTTCTGTGACATGTTTTATTCATAGTTAAAAATTTACATCCAGAATGGCTAAAAGCATAATGCCCTGGCTAAGTAGGGTTTATCTCAGGAATGAGACCGGTTTATCATTCAATAATGAATCAATGTATGCTAAAGTATTTTTGTTTGAACTTGTTGAGGAATAATTTTATGGAATTAAAAAAATCAATTTAATTTTACATCATTAAGTAAATGTGAAAGAGTTATCTAGGTACATGGAGAAAAAGTATCTCATAAAATTCAATACCAATTCATGATTTTAAAAAATTCTCGGGCCGGGGATTTAGCTCAGTGGTTTCGCTGCCTGCTGCACAAGCACAAGGACCCGAGTTTGATCCCCTGTACAAAAAAAAAAAAAAAATTCTTGGCCAAGCAGGAATAGAAGGGAACGTTTTCAACTTGATGACGATAAGTACAAAAGTTTACAGCTAACGTGATACTTAATAGTGAAAAATAAACAAGTTTCTTCTAACAACAGGAGCAAAGTAGGATTGTCTACAGCCTCTTCTTCACATCACAGTAGAGATCCTGGTCCATGTGAAAAGGAAGGCAGAAATTACAGGCAAACAGATAGAAAGTAAAGTATAAAACTCTTTATTCAAAGATATCATGATTGTGTATGTAAAAAATTCTAAGGATTCTACCAAAAAAAACTATACAGAAAAAATAAATTTTGAACCCACCCATGGTAGTGGAACACATCTGTTATCTCAGCACTCTGGGAAGCAGAGGCAATAGTATCAGAAGTTCAAGCCCAGTCTGGGTAATTCAGCAACTTAGAGACCCTGTCTCAAATAATAAAAGTGGGCCGATTAGCTCATTGCGAAGGCCCTAGGTTCAATCCCCAGTACCATACATAAATATATACAGAATTTAGAAAGAGGGTCAATTACAACCCCCCCCCCCTTTTTTTGGTACCCGGGATGGAACTTGGGACCTTGCCCTTGCCAGGTAGGTGGCAGAACCACTGAGCTAAATCCCTGCCCCCCTACTATATTTTTATATATTAACAATGAAGACCTAGATAATGAATATTAAAAAGCAATACTATTTCCAGTATCAACAAAAATATTTAAAAATTACACTTGTACATCTAAGATTATAAAACACTGTAGAGAGGGATTAAAGATGATCTAAATAAGAGCTATACCATGTTCAGAGATTGGAACACTCAATATTGTTAAGGTGTCAAGTCTCTCCAAATTGACAAACAGATTTAATTCCAATCAAAATTCCAGCACAAATCACTTCTCAGCCTTTTGGCTAAGATCAAGTGTAAAATTCCAGCACATAGCTGGCAGTGGTGGTGCATGTCCATAATCTCATCCCTCAGGAGATTGAGGGTAACAGTGAGTTTGAGATCAGCCTAGGGTACATAGTGAGTTCAAAGCCAGCCTGAACTACAGTGAGACCCTGTCTTAAAAAAAGAAACAAGAGACAAAAATAAAATTTTTAAACCCCAGTAGATTTTTTTTAAAAGAAACTAAGTCAATTTTAAATGTATATGGCAATGCAAAGCACCTAAAATAACCAAAATAATTTTGAAAAAGAATAGTATAGCCACTTTAGAAAACAGTTTAGAAGCTTTTAGGACTCAATAATCCCATTCCTGGGCCAGGGATTTAGCTCCGCGGTTCTGGTGCCTGCCTCACAACTACAAGGTCCCAAGTTGGATCCCCGGTACCAAAAAAAAAAAAAAAAATCCCATTCCTAAATTATCTATTTGAGACAAATACAAACATGTTCACAGAGATTGTACATTAATGTTCATAATACTGACAATAACCTCAAATGAGAAAACAATGCACATGTCCATCAATCAGTAGATGAATAAACACAATGTGATATATTCACCAAGAGACTACTAATCACTAATAAAACAACAAATTACTGATACATGAAATGACATGGATGAATCTGAAGATTACATTAGGGCAAAAGAAGTCAGACAAAAATCTACACATTGTTTCTATTTACATGAAATTCTAGAAAAAGTCAAAATATAATGACAGCAGATTACTGGTTGCCTGGGACCAGGGAAGAGATGAGAGATCATGTGTGTGCATGCATCTTCTAAAAAGATTTTGAACCTGTCAACGGGCAAAAACTAGACATCCTCTCTAACAATGAAGTATGCCCTTCTATTTGGGTATAAGTCTTATTAGGCTCTTTAATTTTCACTATTAAATGTTAATAGCTCTTTTTATTGTATTATTGAGCTTTTGTTTTGTTTTGTTGAGACAAGGTATCGCTATATAGTTTAGGCTGGCCTTGAACTCACTACATAGCTGAGGCTGGCCTTGAACTTGCAGGGATCCTCCTGCCTCAGCCTCCCAAGTGTTGGGATTATAGGCCTGTGCCAATATGCTCGGCTTCTCTTTTTATTTTTTTAAGACAGAGTGTTGCTAAGTCACTAAACTGCCCAGGGAAAGGCTGAACTTGGGATACTGCTCCTTCAGCCTCTCAGAGTTCTGGGATTATTGGTAGGCACCACCACATCTAGCTTCAAAAGGAAATTTTAAAAGAAGTAATACATTTTGAGCTTGTTCAGAAGAGTCAACATGGCAGGCTTCAATGCCTATTTCTTAAAAAGATCTACATACATGGCTGGGGATGTAGCTCAGTGGCTTCACGCCTGTCTGGTAAGCATAAGGTCCTGAATTTGATCCCTGGTCACACACACACACACACACACACACACACACACACACACACACACACACACGATCTGCTTACATGCTTAGTCCTTGGCTGACATCTGAAAACTGTTTTGGGAGGTTTCCCATCATTCCAAGAAATGATAAACAGGGCTACAAACAGTATGATTTATGCTAAACACCTGTTTTCCTTCTGACAGTCTCAAGTTTAGGGACAGGACAGAGGCTGCCTACATGACCATCCTGGGCACTGAGTCTCTAATGAACTTTCCTGGTTCCACTTCACACATGTGGTGATAACTTCTTGCGGGAAATCCTGTGACTACTGAGGGAGGCACTTGGAAGCTTACACTTGGTCTCTTCCACTTGGACCAATGTGCCTGCTCCCTTTGCTCCATTTTGCATTATATCCTTCTGCCATAATAAATCATAAACATGAGTATGACTATGTGCTGGGTCCTGAGAGCCCTAGTAGGGAACACTGGACTGGAATGTGGTTTGGAAACTTCCAGTACAGGGCTCACTGAAGGAAATTGTTCTAAATATTCTAAATCTATTCCTTGATTAAAACAAGATAGCTAAAGGCTTAGAATAGTGGTGGTGGACCTTTTAGCAATGAGTGCCCAAACTGCAACCTGAAAACCACTTATTTATTGAAATGTGCCAACACTGCAATTAAACCTGAATATGGAGGTTTTAATTTAGAAAAAACAACTCATACATTAACATCTTTTGTCTTAAAAGAAAAACACTAACATGTGTGTCATAGGTTCGCCAGATCTTACTGTTTACCTCCAATAAAATTATTTGTACAGGGCTGGGGATTTAGCTCAGTGGTTCCAGTGCCTGCCTCGAAAGTGCAAGGTCCCAAGTTTGATCTCCAGTACCAAAAAAAAAAATTTTGTACAAATTTTTGTACAAAAATGTACAAAAGCTACTTGAATATCAGCCTTTATTTCACATTACAAGGCCTAGGAAACTTGTCACTCTGTTTCGAATATGCATGTTCTGAAGATGTTTATTTCTGAGATCACTTTATGAAAATAATCAGAAGGAATGTGATTCTAATAATCAGGAATAATTTTGCTTTTTCTAAATTTCCACTAAATTTACTTCAATTTTGTCAAAATTTTTCCCAATACTGTTTATCAAATCTGTACTTCACTTTTTAAAACAAAATATTTATTGGTAAATTTTAGATATACATAATGATAACATTCATCATAGGGAATTTGTACTGGTACATGATCAAATCTGTGCTTCAATACAGAAAATGGAAAAGACACAGGCAACTTGGAAACTTTTCAAAGATAGTAAAACAAAGACAGAAACAATGATAGACAGCAAGTTAATTTCACTACATACT